TCATCCCTCTGAGCATTGTAGTAAAAAGAAAGTTAAACAGATATAAAAATATATAAAAAAATTGTGGGGGCGGGGGTGGACAGTGAAAAGAATTCGATCGAATACGAATGGATCAACATACATGACAATTCAAATTACATATATGTTTAGCTACTGAATTACTGATGTAGTTCAACTGGTCTTATAACAAAAGGCCGAATTTTATCATGATTTTCTTACAAAGTCATTTTCTACTTTGATCACAACAAATTATCGACATGGAAAATATATCTCTTTTTTTTGAGAAATTGAACAATGTATCTTATGAGTAATTTATATATATAGAACCCGTTTCTCCAAGAACTAAGGAGGAAATTATTGATGTTTTGAAGTAAGCAATTTTCTTGTTGACGAAAACATCATTTTAAGTGGAGGACCATTAAGGTCAAGAGAAGACTCGTTAACTTCGTGGATGTACATGCACGCGTGGTTAACTAATTCACAAATAATATAACTTTTTGAGACATTAGTTAATTATACGTTGAATAGTCGACCAAAAAATGGTTTAGAGGTTTGTATAAAAAAACAGTAAAAGGTTATCTAAACTGGCAGCAATATATTTAATTAAGAAGATGATAAAGGCGTTGATTCAGCCGAAAAACACGGGTTTGTTTCCAGTTTCTAAATTAAACAAAAATCGGGTAACAGTCAGAACCTTATAATGTATATACTAGCTAGAAACAAATTATCTTACTTGCAGCGTTTTTCTTATTATATAATTTTATTTTTTTGTTCAAGTGTTACGTGTTAGGCCGTAAGAGGCAATGAGATGGAACAAAAAAAGTCTAATGCCATAAATAAATCAAAACCAACGGTGGTCAAAGAATCGAAAGAATCTGAATCTCTCTAGGATCGCCCGTGAAATTTTGTTCTTCAACTATTACATCTTCGCTTACGTCACCACCAGTTGGATGATCGAATTTTGGTATGCCAATTATTTAAAACAATTAGTTAGCCCTCTTTTTTTTTCCCCCCATTAGCAACACTTATAGTCCATTAACTTTTTCTATTACAAAAGTATAGTCGGTATCCTAGTAATAAGTAATAACTAGATGTATATATATATACATATATATATACATTGATAAAAAAAGAAAAAAAAAAAGACTACATTGAGTCATTGATCGCGTTCATATCAGGTTTAAGTAGATTTTTCAACATACATCGTATCGAAAAACTGGAAGCACATGGCAAAAGGAATAAGATCCTAACAAATCGTGAATATTATTCATAAAAAATATTGGGTAAAAAATGATTCGTTAAGACTGTCGTCCATCTAGTATATCTCGAGTGTTTGAATGTTTATGTTCACATAAAGAATATGTTTTTTGGTCAACATTGTCTAAGCAAATACGACGGAATCTATGAGCATTTAAAAAAAGAATTAAAAAGCTCGTTTAATATGACACGAATTATATAGCTTACAAGAGTTCAAAGGCGAATATCTTATTTGATTGAACAATAAGCTAAAATGCTGATGGCTCCGCTGGCTATGTTGAAATTGGCAAGCTTTTTTTTGTTTCCTTTAATCCTTTAATTTTCTGGTTTTAAAGTTCGACACTTCGTTGGAGGGATAGCCCTATACATGATCAAAAGTTAATGCCGCTCATAAAAAGGTATATAACACATAAAGATCATCATTCATAATCCTAAGAATCCTAAAAAAAAAAGTTGGATTGGTTTTCTTTTAAAATGTAGTATCTGAATTATTCTTAGTTGGTAAAAAATGTCAAACGTCCGTTCCCATCTCCAAGAATTTTATTCGTGGTTATTGTCAACAAGCAAGAAGTGTATTGGTGTCAAGCCATTGACCGTGTAGTTTAAATCGTAAACGTGATCAAAATTAGTAAGACTGAGTTTCCTTGAATAACACAGATTCCTAGTAGGAATTTGAATTCTTGACCTGCTATCTCGCCTCCCAAAAAGTTTATACTAACTGATTTTGATTTGAATTTTCCTTTTATATCTCTCGGAGTTTCTAGAGTTCTTAAAATAAATCGAGTTTCTTCTTTTCAGTGTCGACTGTAAATAGAATCAATATAATTATTTTGATTGAGTACCAAACAGTCTTGTTTTACATGCATATATATAGTAGAGTCCACAGTTTTAACATATTGTTACACACACAGACATACGTAGCTGATACATTTCGTGAAATAATTTATAAGAAACCACTATTTTGATGTATGTTTATAATCTCCAATAAAATGATTGGTAAAAACAAGACAAGTACTTTTTTTTAAAGCAAAACGACTATATATTGTTTTTGCTTACAAATTTTACATAGACACACGGCATACCGTTATAGACCTAGTAGTCCTTACTTACTATTTTTATGCAGAAAATCACCGTTATTCTTATATAGTTATATGTGTATATATATGGAGAAATCTTACACACACATATATATATATATATACATTAAGTCCATTGAAGACTATAATACTAAATGATATGAAATAAAAGGCAACTTTTAAATAAAATGTATTAGTTAGTAAAATATACTAATGTAAGTTTTCCCACGTTAAATTTATTTAAATATAAAATGGAGGTAGTTGAAAACTTTGCAAATGCATCACAATTAAATAAAATGATATTTCTGGAAAATTAATTAATTTCTGGAGTAATCTATTGCAGCTGAAGCTGCAGCGGGTTTTCGCACAAAAAGGGTGCTAGTGGTTTTCAAAGACAAGGGGCGTTTTCGAATTGCACTTAATATATTGATTATTATATGTACTAATAATTACTAGAAGTCAAAAAAAGTTCAAATAATTACTAAGTTTGATAAGAAATTTATTTTATACTAAATCTGATCAAATATTTATTTTTCTCCAAATATCGTTCGTGTTATATCTAGTCCTCAAACATTGTATATATCATATTTACACACTTACATGCATGCCATGACACATGTATATTTCATCAAATGACACCAATTTTGTGACAATGTGATATCCTATAATATTACCCAAAACTTATCACTACATAGATAATAATATTTGATAAGTACGAAATCCCAAATGGTCACGAGAACAGAAACGGTCCAAAAACCTATATCCACGTGCAAAAAAACAAGAAGCGTTACAACTTACAATCAAAATTCAAATTGTCCTGATAGGTTCTAAGATGCTCTAAAACTCCTTCGTAAAGTCACACATATTTAGACACGTGATTAATCATCTCTCGCATATTCGTATGGATATGAGCCCTCTTTGTATAAAGATTTGGTTTGGTGCTCACTATTGTTCGAATGATTCGATGCACTTCAGAATATAATTTTTTTCCATTGCTCGGACGTTAAAAGAAGGCTATGTCGAATTATCGATCCGTCTATTTTGTTGGATATATCCTATTTTTTCCATTAACCAATTAATTAATGTCAGCTCATGAATCTATGTTAGGTCTATAAGAAAATTCGAGAGCTATTGGTTTGTTGTACGATGATGATGATTCATCTTGATTAATTTAATTATCTTACTAATAATTGTAACGTCATTCGTGAGGAAAATTGCACTTAATAACCAAAATACCTAACGTAACTAAGAAAATAACCAAATATAAAACTGGTCATAATAAATACCATTATATTCTTATGTTACATACAAACACACAGTTTGTTCTTTTTATCTTTTCTCATTTTCTCTCTCTTTCTTTTGTAATTTTTTTATTCTTTCATCTTTTTATAGTTTGACATGTTATTATTTTTTTTTTTTGGTTTTGGTTATTCAATAAATTCACACTTTTAATTATCGCACTTGTGGTTGTATGCATTATATAGGGGTCAGCCTCATATATACTTGATTGTTTATAAAACCAGTGAAGTCGTTTAGATTGGTTATTGTCAAGACTCAAGAGCTGTGCAACGTGATTTTATAACTTTTACGATCTATATTTTCACTTTTTAAAAATTCTGTAGAGCAATATTTACATATAGTAAAAAAGTCTGAAATTTCGGATAACCACAATAATTCCGAAAAAAAAAATCATAGAGTTAGGTGTTTCGTTAAGGATTTTATCATTATGCTAATTCTGCAATGTCTATGTGCCAAACCCTTATTCAAGCCTATATTCGTTAGCATTTATATTTGTTTTGAAAATTATGCATATCGTTGTCGCAAATTATAATTTTTTTTTTTTTTTGCGAGGGCTTACATTCCATCCTAAAGATGTTTTTTTGACAATTAACATTATAATTAAACGATCCACCATTCAATCAAAATTTGAACTTATGTAAGAAAATAACATAAAGATTAACAAGTACACCTTTCTCAAAAAAAAAAGATTAACAAGTACTTGCAAATATTTTACCAAACAGTTATGTTTTTGACGTTTTGTAACACAAAACCACGTGTGTTGAAATAAAAATAGGATATTTTCGACATTGGTCAATAACGTTTTTAATATTAAAAAATTTGGTTTACCCTTGTTATATTTTGTTGTTCAATAAAATGGTCATGACGATAGAATGTAATAATAAAAAAAATCACTGAATATCTTTTAGACCGTGAAAGCCTTGATTTTTTTTTTGTTGTTATTACATTTTTCTCACTATTAAAATACTCACACATGTATGCATAATATAGTTCCCCTAAACAACTTTATTTTTTAGTTAGTGAGAAAAAAACAACTCGAACTTAATTATCACATGATTCGGCGACTTTAGCTTATTAAAAACATACTTACTTACCACGTTACACGACCAAGACTCTGAGAGAGAGAGAGAGAAAGACCAAGACTCAGAGAGAGAAAAGGAAAGAGGTTCCTTTGCATCAGGGACACGTGGCATTATGTGGGACCAAATTATACCAAAGAGAAGAGTCACCACCTCCTCCTTAAGCTGGGCCTCGGTCCCATGGCTCCCACTTGTGTAACAAGACTCTCTCTCTCTCTCTATCTCTAACTCTTGTGTTCGCTTGTGCTTCTATATAACCACCTCTTGGACTTCCCATTTCTCCCACACTATCTCTCTCGTCTCTTCGAACACTGCAAAAACCACTTACAGATTCGAATAACAGAGCAATTTCTTCCCAATTCACTCTCATTTCTCTAACTTCTCCCTTGATCCCATTCTCTTTACATAATCCGTTTCAAGATTCATCTTCTTCAATCCCTGATTTTCTCAATTAGGAGACCAGTCGATTTCACTTCCACCTCCTCTGTTCTGAAAATCCCCTGTTTTTGTTTCTTCTCCTCTGTTTTATAATGGTGAGCCAAAACGTCGTCGTATCAGACGCCAAGTCTGGAATCATCACGGTATCCACCGTCTCAAACTCCTCGGTATTTACTCCGTCCGCTCAAAAACCACCGACTGCTCCTGGTCACATATCAATTTCCAAGAAAAAAATCCTCAAAAACCTCGAAATCAATGGCGCTCAAAGTCAGAGACTCAACTCTTGGGTTGACTCCATGAGAGCTTCTTCTCCTACCCATCTCAAATCACTTCCTTCTCTTTCCTCACAAGAAGAGCTCAATTCTTGGATTGTAAGCTCCATCGCACACTTTTCTCAAGCAAACCTTTGTTTTTTTTTTTTTTTTCTTACAAAGTAATGCTAATTTTTCTTCTTCTTTGATTTCGACCAGAAACGACATCCATCTGCACTAGACATGTTCGAACGAATCATCGAAGCTTCGAGAGGAAAGCAAATCGTCATGTTTCTTGATTATGACGGTACTCTTTCTCCAATCGTCGATGATCCAGACCGAGCTTTCATATCCAGCAAGGTTCTTATAATTAGTCCAGATAAACAAATTCATCATTTTTCCCTTTTAAAAATAATTCTATATTTATCAAAAGAACAAAATAAATAATAATTATCTCTGTTTTGTGATTCCCAGATGAGAAGAACAGTGAAAAAAGTGGCCAAGTGTTTTCCAACTTCTATAGTTACTGGTAGATGCATAGACAAGGTACATTTTTGTAAAGTAATTTCTTTTTTCGGCTAACTTTCATTGAAATATACCCCCCAAGGTAGAATACATTAATGTAACCAATTTAAGTTTTTTCGTAGGTTTATAGCTTTGTGAAGCTCGCAGAACTGTATTATGCTGGAAGCCATGGAATGGATATTAAAGGCCCAACAAAAGGGTTTTCTAGATATAATAAGGTATATAATTCTTAGATTATTAAGCTCAAATATTTTACAAATTACAGTCCTAAGTTTCTTTAGATTTTTTTTTTTTGTCTGTTCTTAATCAAACTTTTTCTATAGGATAAACCATCTGTTCTTTACCAACCAGCCGGCGACTTTCTTCCCATGATCGACGAGGTAAATATTTTGTTTAAAAAGAAAACAATTTTTTTTAACTATTTGTTTATCTCTTTAGCAAAAAAAAAAAAAACTTTTCTTTAGAAAGGGAATATTTTTGTTATGAAAGGTTTTATAAAACAAAATGTTCATCTCTCTGAGTGTATGTTTATCTTTGAGTGTCTTAGATATAAAAACACTTGTTGGTCTCTGAGTGTCTCTAATTGAAAATCTATTTTTAAAGGTTTTTAAACAACTAGTGGAGAGAACCAAATCAACTGCGGGAGCCAAAGTAGAGAACAACAAGTTTTGTCTTTCTGTGCACTTCCGTTGTGTCGACGAGAAGGTAAAAAATTGCTGTAAAATTACACAAAAAATTCCGATTAAATAAAGGAAGTAAAGCTAATACAGTGAACACTTATTATTTTTATTTTTTAAAAAAATCTTTAGAAATGGAGCGAATTGGCTTTAAAAGTTCGGTCGGTGGTACAGAACTACCCGACATTGAAATTGTCCCAAGGTCGGAAGGTATGACGTGGCATCTTCTTGTTGGTAATTAAGTAAAATTAGTATCCAACTACACTTACACTATTATTTATAGCAATTGAATTTACATTTTGTTTTTTTTTGAACTTTAAACAGGTTTTTGAAATCCGACCTATGATTAAATGGGACAAAGGCAAGGCTCTTGAGTTTTTGTTAGAGTCGCTTGGTGAGATTTTCTCTCCCTCTTGTCTTGTTAACACAATATTTTTTTTTGTTGCTTATTTAACGTTTCATAGCAAAAAAACGTATCTTTATTTTGCAAAAACCCAATTATATATATGTATATATATATGCATATATATTTACTTATAAATTTGAAATTCTGGCTGTTGCAGGATTTGAAAATTCTAACGATGTATTTCCGATTTACATTGGTGATGATCGAACCGATGAAGATGCTTTTAAGGTATACAAATTTATTTGATATTTTCAATGTTTTATAAATATTCAAAATAATTATGAATTTTTAAAAATTCATGTAGATACAGACATACAGTATATTAAAACTACCCAATTTTAATACGGGTAAAAGAATCCACAACGTCGCTTCTTACAAAAAAAAAACTACGATACAATTCATTTTACATTACTAATTGTGTTTTTTTTTTCTTCGATTCAATTTGTGACGTCTAAATTAGCTACTGCAAGAGAGAGGACAAGGCTTCGGTATTCTTGTCTCCAAGTTCCCCAAAGACACCAATGCGTCGTATTCTTTGCAAGACCCACCCGAGGCAAGTACATATACAAATATACGTACAATTAAAAAAATATATATATCCATATACGCATATATGTAATATACTCACCATATATTAATACGTATGGTTACGCAATTATGATGATCTAGTTCTGCTACAATATTCAGGTGATGGATTTCTTGAGACGGTTGGTGGAGTGGAAACAAAATTCAGCAATGAACGTGAACAATGGAGTAACTTTAGTATAAAAATAATCATTACCATAGGTGCATATATATATATATATAGTTGATGATATGTATCAATGGATATCCCTAACCTATAATGGAGCCTTGTACAAGATATGTAAGGGCACAATTTTAATATGCCCTATTTAGATTGATCTTGTTCATCATAATTCCTTTGTTTTAGAAAAAGATGAACAAGAACTTTTATCTGATTGGGGATATATTTTTCTTTCTTTTTCTAAGCCTTCAAACTATATTGCTTGAAGGCAGTTTTTACCTTGTAAACCAAAGAAATAGACGATTATAAAGGAAGGGGTATATATACCTTTTGTAAAATTCTAAAGAAAATGTGCATTATTATATAATATAATAACATTTTGTTTCCTATACGGCTATTTGCGTTTCGACAAATCATATTGTTAAATGTAATTATAGTTGATTTCTCAGATAAAAAGAAAAAAAAAAACTAAATTTTGCAATATTTTCGTTGTAGACGCTAAGCTTCATTCCCAATGCTTGAAACCATTCTTAAAAACAAGGAATTTAGAATAGCAAACAATACGTCATGGGAACCGGAAATTAAATTCTAAAATAACATTTACTTTTAAACTTAAGAAATAACTTAGTAACATAATGTATAACAAATAATTTGTTTAATGCGAGATTAATGGGATGTCGATTGTCGACTAGTGAGAATAAGACACACATCCATGGTAGGTCCGTTACTTTTTTTCCCACGATAATGACTTAGAAATGACAACTTCTTCAACTTCCAAGTTTTCTTTTTCTGTTGGGAATTAAAGTACATTTTAACACAAAAAAAAGAACGGTTAAAAGTACAATTTCTCTCCGGTTGTAACTTGCACCGCATGAAAACATACATACGTTAAGCAAGTAAGCGTTCCTCTTTATGTCCATATCATATGAGTTCGCGTTGATCATTTACATGTGTCAATGTTGGAAATGTCTTCTATTTTATTATTATTATATTATTTTGGGCTGTGGTTCGTACCTCCCCAAAACATTTTATTAATATGGTTCTCTACCAAATGTCAGTCGAGATTTTGATCTGGCTATCACAAACATTAATGCTCAACTGTTCATATTAAACCTTTTAAAAATGATCATGAACCTGTGTATATGAATAAATGTGCACATGGGGATGCATGTGAAGGAGAATGCCCTAACAATGGGGAGCCAAATTCAATATGCACGTGTCATCGTATTTGTCCATTCACTCACATCCTAAATTAACAAGAAACCAATGAACCTATGATGTTTTACTGGTTAAAGAATTCATTTTTGTAAACTCAACTGGGGACACCATGGCTCAAGTTATATTTTTTTTAATTGCGATTTTAAGTACAATTTGTTATTTAAGTTTTTTGAACATTAGAATACGCGATTTTTTTCACAGACTACGGAAATTAGTATGGGTAGGTTTTAATATTTAAAAAACAAGGAACAATCAGTCGTTTGTATCCCAAACAAGGAGAACGAAAATAATTTTTTTTTTTTAAATGTCCATGAAAAAAGCAAATGGCCCATTAATCAGCCACACCATTAAACATAAGTAGTGGACTCGTCTTCAATATCTAAATATTGGGCTTTTCCAATAAACATGGCCCATTAATCAGCCACACCATTTACAAATGAAAACAGAAAGATAGTATGTTCACTGGTCCTTTACAATCATCCAGAACTTCCATTACAAAGCAATGGAAAGATACTTCCGAAAAAAAAGAAAAAAAAAAAGAAGAGTTGAAAACGCTTATGTGGATCCAGAGAGTTTATCTATAGCCTCCCAATCAATCTCCAAAGAAGGAAACTTCTGCAAACCCATAAAAAAGCTCTCATCTTCCTTCATCCACTCTCTTGAGAAATCCAACAACGTTATATCCGACTCAGGAGAGGAACCCGAAAACCCGCATCCGAAATTCTCCGAATCTTCGCGTTCTTGCTCCGGTTTAGGACCCGTGTAATGAAAACCAAAGGACCCTTCCTCTGTTTTCGCCGGTTTCTTAACCTCAGGCAGAGTATCTGAGCTATTGCAGATGGATTCGATCTTCGCGTTGATAGAAGGAGACAATGACTGTTTATACTCTCCGTAACGAGCGATTATCGGGAAATTGAGACGAGCGTTTTCTCCTCTGATCTTATGAGCAGCTTGATCGTAAGCTAATGCAGCTTCTTCCGCGGTTTGAAACGTACCGAGCCATAATCGGGTTCGGTTTTTAGGTAAACGAATCTCAGCAACCCATTTGCCCCAATGCCGTTGTCTTACACCTCGGTATAGTTTAACCGGTTTGGTTACGTCGGTTTTCTTCATTGGTGTTGGTTTGACGGTGAGAGGATGGAGTTTCTGGCCACCGCCGCGACGGCGAGATTGGTTTTGCCGGAGATGTAACTCTGTTTGAATTTGGAGGATTTGAGTGGGAGTGAGCTGGTTTAGCCCAATTGGACCGGCTTGGTATACCGGTAAGGTTTGGTTATTAGGAGTTAAGGGTTTTGGTTTTGATGAAGATGGAGTAGAAGATGTAGTAGATGAAGTTACCTTCATGAACGGTTCAAGAGCATTCATAAACTCTTCTATGCAGCCATTCATGTTCAAAGCTATTTCCATTGCACAAAAAAAAATTAATAAATAATTGGGAGAAATAAAGACGAGCTTCTGGAGAAAAAAAAAAAGAACCCCTACTGAGAAAATAATTTGACTAGATAATAGAAAAAAAAACACACGAACTCCGGAACTCTAAACAGGAACGAAGATTCTTGAATTTTTTTTTGTTTGTTTAAATTTGAAATATTCTCGTGTTTGATAGTTTCCCCATATTCGTTGGCTTATATATGTGTTTGTTTCGACCATGGGGTCTTCTATGGTGAAGTCAATGAGGTTGATGACGACATGCGTATATTGTAAATACTATTTTAAATTTTACAAACAAGTACATATTTGTTTTGCCCAAAAAGAAATGCACATATATAAGACAATGAATGCATCGAAATAATTAAGAATATGATCAAATAAACGCGTTGACAGTTATTATGTCCACTCAAGTACTTTTATGTTTTACTGACCCATACAAAGTTATGGAATTTTACTACAGTATATATGTTAAATTTTCTGCCTATAGAATTCGAATGAAACACACAATCCCTTAATGCAACAATTTCCTATAGCATTATGTGAGTTAAGTGAATATTCTCCTTCTTTTTACAAAACTTACCAACGATTCATTTAAGTGTAAGAAGTAAAAAACACATCAGTAAGGATAAAATCATGAAAGGGAACCAAATAGACTGGAACCAATCAGCTTTGAGTATGAATTGAAAACAAACGGGCTCCATTGGGTCCCACATATCCCACATAAACGTGTTCACACGTTGTGTCCGACGTGGATTTGACTTGTAAACTACGCAAGGCACATTCTACAATTTTCAGTCTCATTTTAGCAGAACAATTTCTTCACCTAATGCCTTCTTGCTCATTTTTGTTATTTATAAACCGACATAAACGATTTTTTAGTTCGGAAATTACACATATTATTTTAAAATTGTTAAATTATATTTTTTATTATAAGATAACATAGTATTAAAAGAATTGAGGATCGATTAACAAAAGAAATGAGGCTCAATGTCAAACCATAATATATAAGAAAAAAGTGGTCAATGTCTATAATATAACTTTGATATCATTCTAGGTTCTTTATCAGCTTTTGTTTGCTTCAGGAAAAGCGTGGAACTTTAGGTTGCTTCTCATGAATCTTCTCTACTTTTTTTTTCACTCTTTTTGAACCTACTGAAATACTAGTTACCATCAAAGCCTTCAATTTGTTTTAGTAGCAATTTAAAACAACAAAAAGTTACTCTCATTTTTCTCTAATTTTTTTATTTTTTATTTATTTTTTTACGAACAATCGTTACAGATAAGAGTACACAACTCGACAAACCATTTCGAGCTAAATTTAAGGCATGCGCATGCACAAAGAAACTTTTTAAATCGAACCTAACAAGAAAAAATACACATTCGTGCCATTTTTGGTTTTGATGATTTTGTTACCGAACAAAACTAAAACAAGAAAGTTCAAAACCAATTAAAAGAAAATATCTATATTCAGTAAAAAAAAATTATATATTTTTGGTAAAAAATAATCGAAAATCTTCTTAAGTCAAACCAAATAAAATTTAAATAACACTATATTTCATAAAAAAACTAAAAAAAAAACTTAATTGGCGTGAAAATTTTAGACAGGTATTATAAAAGATACCGAAACTGATTATATAAATGTTTGTAAGTCAATGTTGTACCCTCACATAGATTAAAATATGGAGATACGCATATATGACTTCTACGCAAAATTAAAAAAACCATAAAACCAAAAAGAACTCGAGATGAAACCGCTAACTCGTTGACTATAGGCCATCTTTTTTAAAAAAATATTAAATAGTTGACTTTTGCATGTCAAAGCAGAAACAAATGAATATCCCCTAATCGTAATTAGTTCATTGCTACACTAATAGACATGATTAGGTAGGTAATCAATATTTATTATGATGCAATGGACCTCTATAGATTATCGTACCAGTGGACTCGCACCGATTGCTGCTACCTCTTTATCTTTTTTTTTTGACAGTGGTACCTCTTATCTTTACTTAGAATTCTAACAATAGTTAGATGACATTTTGTATCACCTAATTATTAAGGTTTATATAGATGATAATAGCTCGTTTTCTCAACACACAAAAATGTTTGCAAGGGATATTTGAAGTAATAAAAGGATGAGAAATCAAATAGACACATGCTCAAGAGGCACACAGAGAGACGAATATGGTAAAAATTCTTGAAGAACAGACACAAATTGCTAGAAGCAAGTTAATCACTAACATAGATGCAATAATCAAATGATGACACTAGAAGTTATAATACATACATGAGTTGCTTTAAATATAAAGAAGAAGGTTACAGAGCCTTACAACATTTAAACCAGTAAAGAACAACGGTACCTAAGTGTTGTTGTGTTGAGGTGTTTTCGTCGCTCTCTCCAGATCAATCTTACAATTCTCTCTCAACTCTTTCATGGCTATGAAGCTATTCTGCTGCAGATTATCAATTACAATGGACATCAAAACACAAAACCCATATTTTTACAGCCCGAAACAAACCACTGCTCAATGGGAAGACTCTGAGAAGTTTTGTTCTGAAAATCTAATACAAGGTCTGGAGGAACTTACAAGGTGGCTGCTTTCACGAGCCAAGATACCCTCCATGTTAAGAAAGAGAGATGTCCATTGACCCATGACATCAAATTCTACATTTGAGGAGTTATTGGAGTTTTCAGACCCATGAATATCCGTTGGCTTTCCTTTACCATTCCTTTTGATCAAGCTACTAGCTTCTTTCTGGCTCTTCTTCAGCACTGCAGTCAAACAAAAATTAACATGACCATTCATGGAATTTACCATTATCAAACAACTCTGAAATTTGCAGTATAATGCGAACTTACCAGATAATCGACCTTTGATGTCTTGGTAGTGAAGATCTGACCAGATATATGCAGCTGAAGACATTCATTACATCCACAAACTAAGTTAGATAATGTTATAGGGAAGGAAAGAGATGGTTTAAACAAAAACAACACTAAGAAAAAGACAACCTTTCAGACAAAATGAACAAGAGCAAGATTTAAGTTCATCATCAGCTTCCACATCGTGATTGTCAAAACTCGAACATCTGTTCATATTAAACGATTTGATGGTCTGCGAATTAGGTAACAAACCCATCCCTTCAGTAGCCGCCATGGACGGCCTGTCGTCACTTTCGCTATTGCTGCTACTGAACACAGTCATGGCTAAGTCTTCACCGGTAATAGCATCGGTTTGACTTGCAAAGACAGTCATGTCCGAGTCCTTCTGACACACTCTCTGACTAAGTTCGACCACAGAATCACCACCTTCACCTTTCGAATGTTGAACACCAGTATCTACTGCATTGGTTTCACCTTGGGATTCTTTCACATCATCGAGATCGAAATTCTCAGAATCACCATTAGCAGGTGAATCACCGAAACTATTCTTATCATCAGAAGAAGAATTATCGTTTGTATCACTAGTCCTAGTACTTTCCTTAACCAAGTCGTCTACAACTAAACACAACCTCTTCGAAAACTTTACCCCGGAGCCTTCACGAGCAACGGCCCTTCCAGCATCATCTCCAGATTTCAAAAGCAAATCACCCAAAATCGAAGAAATTCCCCTTTTGCTTGGAACATTAGTCATATCACACAAAGGGAGGCGTGTTTCCTTGGACACTAAGCTGCAACTATCTCCAGTCATCTTCAAAATCACCCACAAAACAACAAAAAAAAAGAAGAGGAAAACTTTTCATTTTCAGACTAGAAAATGCTAGAAAACCAATATATTCCACCGGATTGAAACCAACATAGAGCGATAACGAATATTTTTATCCCTAAAAGCAAAAAGAAAACCCTAAAATTTAGGAGATACAATTAATACCCCAAATAAGAAATTGAACAAAACCCTCTTCGAAACCTTAAATTAGGAATCTTAAACTGATAGGATGCAAAAAAAATGAAGCGATTCGTTCGTACATCAGAAGGAAATCCCTAAAATCAACGAAGACAAAATCAATTGAGTTCGAGTTACTGACCAATAGATCGATAGCATCTGTCAACGGCTTAGAAATCTTCGTTTAGTCGGAGAAAAATAGTGTTGGTCTGCGTAGAGAATTAGGGTTTATTAGGTGGTTGAGGCGGGAACCTGTGCGGATTTTCCGATCTTAGATTTCTTTTGACCCGCGTTTCGAATTACGGATTTGGCGTCGGACTCGGGAGTCGCGCGCGGTCCCGCACTGATTAATGGGCCTCAACTGATTATTCTAAGCCCAAAAAAAATATAAGCCTAATCATATAATGGGCCCTAAATTAAACTAAATCTTATCCGACAACGATGTACGTAAGTTAGTTCTACTTGAAGATAGAGATAATTAGATATCCTCGAAAGGCGCGCCAAACCCGCCAAAATTTTATCCACTTATAAATGAACACGTAAATTGATGATTATATGTCCACGTCATCTACTTTGCCGTGAAAGCATTCACTTTTTAAATTTGACGCTTAATTGTTTAATTTTTTTTTAATTCTTTTTCATAAGTCACCAATCGAAGAGAGAAAAATTTTCGCCGGTCTCTTATTCCTCTCCTCCACCGTTGGAAATTTCATTGATATTTTTTTTCTCAGATGGAATCTCGGCGAGGGAATCAGATGGAATTTTCCGAGCTACCTGCAACGAGGCGGATCCAACGATTGTCTTCACACATCTCTCCCGCCGTGACGGCGCCGCCGCAGCAACCGATGGTGCAGACGGAGGCGTGTGCTTCGCGGTCGAAGAAGCTGGAAGTAAATGGGGAGGCGTTGTCGCTTTACATGAGGGGAAAACACATGGATATACAGGAGAAAGTGTACGAGTTCTTCAATTCCCGCCCGGATTTACAGACGCCGATCGAGATCTCGAAGGACGATCACCGGGAATTGTGTATGAGGCAGCTCTATGGAGTTGTGAGAGAAGCTGGGATTAGGCCGTTTAGGTATGTTGCTGACGATCCAGAGAAGTATTTCGCGATTATGGAAGCTGTTGGAAGTGTGGATATGTCGCTTGGGATCAAGCTTGGCGTTCAGTACAGGTTAGTTTTAGCTTTTTAAAATCCACCTGTGATTGAGATATTCAGTTTCCTGATTTGGGTTTCATCATTAGATTTAAAGATTTCAACTTTTGGTTTTGTGGTATTGTTCTCGATGAACGCTTGATCTTGGTTCTTGAATTTTTTTCAGCAGCAATATATGATCATGTTAGTATTGATGAGAAATCAGTTGAATTTCTTGGTTTTTCACAGAAGTTTCGATAAATACAGGTTTGGTAAGGATTCATAGTTTGTTTGCATTGACTTTATTTATATACATCCATGTATAGTCTTTGGGGAGGCTCTGTGATCAATTTGGGAACCAAGAAGCACAGAGACAAGTATTTCGATGGCATTGACAACCTCGACTACACCGGTTGCTTTGCCATGACCGAACTCCACCATGGTAAGTGATGACTGATGAATAATGCCTTCGCCTCTCTCTGTGTGTCATTAGTTACTAACCATCGGTTTTTTTTTGTTTCCTCAAGGGTCAAATGTTCAAGGTCTCCAGACCACGGCCACGTTCGATCCCATCACAGACGAGTTCATAATTGACACACCTCATGATGGAGCTATCAAATGGTGGATTGGAAATGCTGCAGTTCATGGAAAGTTTGCCACTGTTTTCGCCAGGCTCATCCTTCCAACTCATGATTCCAAAGGAGTCTCGGATATGGGCGTTCACGCCTTCATCGTTCCGATCAGGGATTTGAAAACCCACCAGGCGCTTCCAGGTGTTGAGATTCAAGATTGTGGACATAAAGTTGGCCTTAATGGAGTGGATAACGGTGCATTGAGATTCCGTTCTGTGAGGATACCTCGAGACAATCTTCTCAATCGCTTTGGAGATGTGTCCCGAGATGGGAAATACACAAGTAGTTTGCCAACAATCAATAAAAGATTTGGAGCAACACTCGGTGAGCTTGTAGGTGGAAGAGTAGGCCTTGCCTATGCATCTGTTGGTGTCCTTAAAATTTCCGCTACTATTGCTATTCGTTATTCGCTGTTAAGGCAACAATTCGGTCCTCCAAAGCAACCTGAAGTCAGTATTCTTGATTACCAGTCTCATCAACATAAGCTCATGCCGATGTTAGCCTCGACTTATGCATACCATTTTGCAACTGTGTACCTCGTGGAGAAGTATTCGGAGATGAAGAAGACTCACGACGAGCAATTGGTTGCTGATGTTCATGCACTCTCTGCTGGACTCAAGTCTTATGTAACGTCTTACACCGCCAAGTCGCTGTCGGTTTGCAGAGAAGCCTGTGGAGGACATGGTTACGCAGCTGTTAACCGGTTTGGAAGCTTGAGAAACGATCATGACATTTTCCAAACATTTGAAGGAGACAACACAGTGCTTCTGCAACAGGTCCGTTCATTCTTTTAAGGAACTTGAAATTGATGATCATTCATGCATGCTCATAGTATTGGTCCTTCGTTTAGGTGGCAGCTGATTTATTGAAGCAATACAAAGAGAAGTTCCAAGGTGGGACATTGACAGTCACATGGAGTTACTTGAGAGAATCGATGAACTCTTATTTGGCTCAGCCAAATCCCGTTACAGCTCGTTGGGAAGGTGAAGATCATCTAAGAGATCCTAAATTCCAACTTGATGCTTTCCGGGTGAGTTAGTTAGTGTTTACTTTACATATACAATGACCTATCTGAGAGTCTTATTGCCTTCATCCATCAATCACACTTGTTGTCTTTAAATTTTGTCTCTTCAGTATCGGACATCGCGCCTCCTACAAAGTGTTGCAATGAGATTGAAGAAACACACCAAGACTCTTGGAACCTTCGGTGCTTGGAACAGATGCTTGAATCATCTCTTGACACTTGCAGAATCTCACATTGAATCAGTCATTCTCGCCAGGTTCATTGAAGCTGTACAAAAGTAAGTAAACAAACACACACAAAAATCTTCCCTTAAACTGTTAAAAAAGTCAGGTTTATCTCTTATTTAAAAACCGTCTCGTCTCTTCCTTCAGCTGTTCGGACGCAAGTGCAAGAGCTGCTCTGAAACTAGTATGTGATCTATACGCATTGGACCGAATCTGGAAAGATATAGGAACGTACCGTAACGTGGATTATGTGGCGCCTAACAAAGCTAAGGTATTTTTGTTTGTTTTTGCTGTATGATTCTCAAATTGAATTAATGGTTTTTTTTATGGATTTAATATTGTAAAAAAAAAAAAATCTTGTTTTTTTTTTGCAGGCGATTCATAAGTTGACAGAGTATTTGAGTTTCCAAGTAAGGAATGTGGCAAAGGAATTAGTGGACGCGTTCGAGCTACCTGATCACGTTACTCGAGCACCAATTGCTATGCAATCTGATGCTTATGCACAGTATACTCAAGTTGTTGGATTCTAAAAGAGGTCAGAGATCAATATCAGATTGTTATCGCAAATAATCTCCTTCGAACCTTTTGATACGAAGCAAAAAATAACAATTTATATTTAGTTAAAATACGTAGAAGAAAATCTGCAATCTTTGTATGTGTGTTTGTATTCGTTGCTATTTGTTTTCACAGCAGAATGAATATCCACGTCGGTTTTTAGATCAAACAATTCGAGGAACTTAAAGAGGATATTCTATAAGAACTTCTTTAAACTTTCAAATATAGGGATGTTTAGGATTTGGATTTAACTTGGGAACTTCATGATACGCTTAGTCATTTTTTACAACTCAAAACGTATAAGTATCGAACCAACGTTGATTGTTTAGAGTGTTGATGTTATTATAGACGAATGAGTTTTTTTGGTCGACAGCGTAAACCTTTCTTTTTTTTGTCGTCCAACGTACGTACCTATTTTTTTTTTTAATAGAGGTTAAAAAGGATCCAGATAGATATTTCTCTAATTGGTTATTTCATTATTTCATTAAATTCTCCACAAAAAAAAAAACCAAAAATCTAGTTTTTCACCGACTTTATATTGTTATATTGTGTAGTGGACGTGGGTAAATCGTGGTGAACGTAAGGTACGAGGTCATATAATCCCTAAAATCCTTCACAAACATCCAAAAACCATAAACTATCATCATTTAGTTATATCCCTTCTTTTTCCTTCTTTACATTTATGTCAAGTTTCCACCCAAGTCTTGTTCCCAATCGTCATATATCCTTTTACATCCATTTTCACATGTGATCTATCATCTATATATGAACTTTCAGTTCCACCGTTGTACGAGAGAGAACTCAGAGAAGAGATGGTTGCGCAATTCACGGCGGAACTAGCGATGGAGTTTTAATCTTTGTTAGCACCATCAGTCATCGCCATTAGAGAAAGAAAAAAAAATGAGAGAATGAGGGGGGTTTTTTGGGTTTTTCTTAAACCAAAGGGTTAAGAGAGAATAAGACTTCAAAAAAACGTAATTACCAGTGATCTGCATGCATATTATTATATACCTTCTTGATCACTTGCGGACTTTTTAATTTAGGCTACATAATTACCAAAGGTAATTACCAAAGGTAATTTCTTCGCCAAATAAATACATTATTTTATTTTAGCCAATTACGAAAAAAACATTGTTTTGTTTCATTTTGGCTATCTTAAGACACGCAATTTCAGACAGAACGAGTAGACATCGACACGACACTCTCTCCACATGCAGACCACCTCCTTTCCATTATTAAATAATCATAACCGATACATGACAATCCGTATATGTAACTTATTAACCGCCAATAATATCACGTATAAAACGGAAATTAAACTCGGGCAATCGCAAGGGATCATTTTGTTTCTCAAAAACATACATATATAGAGAAATTATAAGATACTACTATACATAATACACTAAAAAAAAATGGTGGAGGTCCAAGATTTGGAACCACTTAGTCCCATTCAAGACGACGAAGACGATAATTACGAAGATGAAGAAGACGAATTTGACCGTCTCGGTGAAGAAATCAGCTACGACGATCTCAAGAAACGCATGTGGAAAGATCGAAACCTCATGTCCAAACTCAAACAACAGAAGAAAGATAATTATGATGATCACTCCGTTCTCTCTTCGCCGTCAACGTCCACGTCAGCATCTTCTTCATCTTCAACCACTATCGTGCGCCGAGCAGAATCTTCACGCCGCAAGAAAATGGCTCGATCTCAAGATTCGGTTTTGAAGTACATGATGAAGATAATGGAAGTTTGCAAAGCTCGAGGATTCGTCTACGGAATCGTACCGGAAAAGGGTAAACCGGTAACCGGTTCTTCAGACAGCTTAAGACGCTGGTGGAAAGAAAACGTTCAGTTCGATCAAACCGCTCCAAACGCTGTTTCCGACTACTTAACATTTGCGGATGCCCAGCTAATCTCGTCAAACGAATCTCTAGATCCGAATTCGTATATCCACATGCTTCATGAGCTCCAAGACACGACGTTGGGGTCTTTGTTATCAGCTTTGATGCAACACTGCGTGCCGCCGCAACGGCGATTTCCGTTGGAAAAAGGTTTGGCTCCGCCGTGGTGGCCGGACGGGACGGAGTTATGGTGGGGAGAGCAAGGAGCGGCGGCGTTTGAGCACGGTCCACCACCGTATCGTAAACCGCACGATCTTAGAAAAGCTTGGAAAGTCAGCGTTTTGGCGGCTGTGATTAAACACATGTCGCCGAATTTGGAGAGAGTGAGGCGTCTCGCGAGACAGTCCAAGTGTTTGCAAGATAAAATGATGGCTAAAGAGACTGATACTTGGTCTCGCGTGTTAAACCAAGAAGAAGCTATTCTCAAACGCCTCAAGATCTCTGACGACGAAGAGGAGGGGGGAAATCAAGAACCGGAAAGATTCATTTCCCTTGATCAAGAATCATCGTTAAATGATTGTTTACTTGTAGCAAATGATCAAGAAGTGGCAAGATTAACAGGTAAAGACAAAAGGGTTGATCAAGAATCGTCACTAAATGCCTGTTTTCTTGCAGACCAAGATCAAGAACAGCTGGGAAACAAGAGAAAAGGAAAGTTTGTGGAGCAGGAAGCGACGGTATCTAATGTAAACACTTGTCAAAACTCAAGTTGTCCTTCGAGTGATGCGAGTTTAGGATTCTTCGACAAGAATTTGAGAACAGGACACGAGATGGAGTGTCTCTACGGGACTCAAGAACCGATAAACCAGAGTAGTGGGGGCTCTGACGGGTTTGTTCGGTCGATGACTACGAGTGATGATGATTACAGCGCGAGCTCGAGAGCAGAGGACACGAGAGGTTATCATAATCAAGATGGAAACTGGCTAGATTATTTCTGGTTCGAGAGATTACAAGACCTGAATCAAGGGTTTGGAGATCAGGCAGCTGCGGTTGACTTGAACCAATTACCAGATCATTCTGATTCGAATCAGACCATGAACGAGGAAGATTTCTCGTTATGGGACATGGGTTGTGAAGACAAAGATATTTATATGTCTCCAGATTGAAAAAGATCTCAACTTGGGAATATATTCTCTAGTTACAATGTACTAGAAACAGAGTCGGGAGAATAAACAGAGAACTTTTTTTCAGTTGTTTGTTTGTTTGTTGATCAAAAGCTATACAATCGAGAAATAATACCTTTTTAATCATATTTTTTTTAGTTCAAAAAGAATTGTAACAATCTTAGTCGTAAAAACTATGCCTCTGTGGAATGCAATCTTCAACCAATCTTGCAGCCGCACAAGAATAACCTTTCCTGAATCTACCTTTGTTCAGACTCTTCACATCAACTTCTACTGCAAAGATTGCACAAACCGGTCTGTGATCTGAAAACCGTGATTCGCCTCGTATATATGAAAGTTGTTCTATTCCTTCTCCTCTCCATAGAATTCGATCACACCTGAAAAATCATTCCAATTTCAAAACACACCACACACACACAAAAACAGAGCTTTTCAGAATCAAAACACACCGCAAAAAAAAAAAAAAGTGGTTTAGGGTTAGTACCAAGCAGGCGTACGGCGTTTTTTCTTGGACTTGGTGGTTTCTCCGGCGTAAGCATCTGAGTTTTGAGAGTATTTATAAGTTGGAGCAAAGAAGATTTGACCTTCTTGAAATCCAGAAAAGACTCTTCCTGCTCCTCTTTCCATGTTAAGCTGAAATTATTAGAGATCACAGAAGTTGTTGGTCAACCGGGAAAAAGAATGTTGAAACGTAAAGATTGGTTTTTATGAGATCAATTAATACTACAAAACCTGGTCTTTCTCAAGAAGAGTATCCCAGTCATTGTCTTCTAGCAATACTCTCGTCTCTTCGTAGGTTAAGGCAACTCTGTAATTCAAATCTCCAAGCCAAAGAACTCGGCTGCAAATTCCCAAACAGAACCTTTTTAGCAATTTATTTTTTTCTTGTATAGAGAAAAAGGCTTATGATTTTCATGGAAACATACTCGTGATCTACTATTCTTTCGGGTGCGCGACAATTAGGGTTCTTGGTGATTTTGGGAAATTGAGTATGTTTCAGAATCTCAGCTACATCTGCGTTTCTTCTCATCTCATCACCTTCTTTCTCACCAGAAGCCAAATGGCTACACACAAAGCAAAAGCTTGTTTGGTGCAATGACATGCTTATAGCAATGCATCCCTGTCAAACCACAAAAATTTAGAGAATTCTTTTTGCTTTGTGTCATAACTTTGAATTTTTAGAAAGAAAAAAATAGTTTTACCTTGTTTCCCAAGCGACCCATGATTCCTCTTCCAACAGAATCAAGTCTAAGATGAGATATGTGTGGAATCAACTCTTTTCTAGCCCAAACAGACAAAAACAAACCAACCATTTGTTTACTCGCAATCAGTCGATAGCCCATTTGTCCCGGCATCCTTGTAGTCGCAGGAACATCATCAAACAAGAGATTCTCATGAACCCTAAAATTCTCAGGCTCCACATTGTTATTGTTATCTGTAACAGGATCACTGAACTTTTTCGATCTCCTAGCTTCAAAACCAATCGAAGTGTCGATAACCGGACAATTACAAGTCTTCAAAAGACTTGAATCAACTCGATAGTTTCTGCTCAAGACTTTAAGATTCGGTCTTTGAAAGAAACTAAGACTACTTGGTGTTCTTGATTCTTCATTACCACAGCTACTGCTACAAGTAGTTGTTCTTGAGGCAGAGAAAGCAGCGTTTGAGTAAACAGAGTCTTGCTTCGGTTTGTTTAAAGCTTGGCTTATTAGAGCTAACCATTTAGCTGCTGGCTCGTTGTCTTCAACAACTAATACATTTCCTGCACTTAGAGGAACAATCTCTTGAAACCTGAGATACAAAACAAGAAAATGAGAAATCAATGCTCGAATATTTATAAAGCTTGTAACTTTTAAAAGCCTATGAATCCAAATTTGTCAAATTTCATTTCATACCCACAGATATATAAGTCCGCTGTGCCTTCAACGAGTAAGAAGTCTTCGAGGTTAAGATCGTTGTTCGGTGCTCTTCCTCCTACATTCCACGTAGCTAGAAACACCCTGTTTTTTTTTTAAAAAAAAAAAAGAAAAACATAGAATTTGAATCTGACATAAATTTAAAGATTATAGAACTTATTAAGAGAGATTGATTGATTTTCTAACCTGAGTTCACGAATCTCTGTTGTTGGTGCCATATGCCTATCGAAACTCGATAGATTCAAGCCTTCAATTCCAGGACTTGACTTTCTCTCTTATGAATTTACCAGAAAACCAAGATATAAAGCCCATCAAAATCAGTAGTTTTAACATTGCTTAGCAATAAAACCCTAAAATTTGTTAAAGACCTTGACGAAGAGACGAGTCAAAATAAAGAAAAAAATCCCCAATCTTTGACAATGTACGATTTCTTTCGCTTTCATAATCATGTGAAAAATGTCAATTTTTTTTCTGGGTAGGTTACCCAAAAGATCAAATTATTCTCAACCACACATTGAAAAAAATTCACAGAAATTATCAATTTACCAGAAACAGTCTTCCAAATCATCGGAGAAGTGTTGTCAAGAATCGATTTTTTCCGAGAAGCCATTCGTCGCTCCAAATCTATCAAGAAAGATCCAAGAGCCATTTGACGAATCGAATCGTTATACAAAATTGAATTTTGTTTTCTTGTGATGTACGTAAATCGCTTAAAGAAGAAATACCATTGCAATCTTCATTGTTGTTGTCTTCGTCATCATTATTTCCTTTGTTGTTCATATTATTTGACGCATCTTCTTCTTCTTCTTCTTCTTCTTCTTCTTCTTCTTCTTCTTCTTTACCACATCGTCTTGATCCGAAAATCTTCGGAAGAATTGACTATTCAGAAATGTCCAGGATCATCAGAAAGGAAAACACTTTTTATTTTCTAAATTAAAATCCAATTAATGGGTTTCACGTCGTGACATTTTCTAGGAGATTTTTATTTTTTTAAAAAAAATTCAGTAAAAAACAATTGAAGGAGGAAGAGAGAGAGAGAGGGAGAGAGAGGGTGAAAGAGAGAACCTTCTTCTTCTTCTCGCTTCTGAGGCTGTTCTCAGAGTCGCTATCTTTATTGGAACTCATTCATCAAAATTTTCTTAACAGAAATTATACACAAATTGGAAACAGAGGAGTTATTAAATTTTCAACCTAATGTGGTGTTAATAGATCTTGGAATCGTGCGGAGAAGGGCATTAATTTTATTTTATTTTGGTTTTTAAGGGTTCGATTTTCCCACGACTATTGAGTTATATATATTATTGACGTGAACAAAATTATTTACTGATTTTTTAAGTAGATCAGGTGATTAATTACTATTTAGCAGAAGAGGAAGTAATGTTTTAAATTTTCTAAATCAGTTTGAAAAGATCAGATTTTGGCGCCAGCTCTTTCGGAGGGTTTTAATAACAGCGAGATTTGCTTTGGTTACAAACTTACAAATGTACTAGGATTTATAATTTGTGTTTAGAATTGATAACAGGTTAAATATTGTGTTGAACCTGTTTGATGAAGTTAATAAAATTAACTATATAAAATAAAATTTCAGTTAAATAAGTTAGTTTTTTATATGTTTTAATTTAATTATGTTTGTTGTAAGAAAATATTATGTTTATTTAATATTTATTAAGAAACGATAAATATTACATGCGAAAAAAAAACGATAAATATTACAGTGATTTTATGCATTTGCAATAATTGACTATAAGGATAGGAAAGATGTACCGATCTGATTTGATGAAATCATATTTATGCTAAGAAGAGCGTTCTCCTTCAATTTCTCTATTTAATAATACTTGGAAAAAAAAAACACTTTCAAAATACAACATTTTCTTGTGGAAAGCTTGTTCAGCAGCGTTATCGACGGCAGAGAGACCAAGAACGAGGAGGAATCAATGCGAAGTCAATTAAAAAGATGAAACAATTAATCGTATTCTTTTTCAGTGTCCTCAACCAATAGCTATATGGAAAATGTGCTGACATTTAAAAGTTATGATAATTTGTCAACGAAGTTTGAAAAATATATGGAGAGAATATTTGAAATTACGGGAAATCACAATTTGCCGATGGATCTTAGATTGTCACCGTTTTGGGTGATTTGGATAATTTGGAAGGTCAGAAATGAATTTGTGTTTCAAAAATGTCCATCTAAGGGAAGATGCAAATAGAGGAATTCAAGGTGTCAATGAATGGATGCCGGCAAATCCAAAGTTTAAGTCTACACCAGATTCTTTAGATCATACAAACAAGAAAAAGAATCACGCAGCATATTTGTTGGCCAAAAAAACATATAAGAATGACCAGATTCTTTTTTTGATTAAATGTGATTTTAAGATACATATATACATACGTACGACACATAAACATAATACATACCAACGGATTACAGGTGGCATATATAGTTTGCAATGTTTGGTAAGAACACAATTGTGAATGCACTTGTCTGTTATCTATATAAAACATGTGGCACGAACGGTAACATTTATAACATCATCTTTCTTCTCCTTCTTTTCTTTAACGATAACAAACATGTGTGTGTATTTTCCCTAAAGATATACTCTACTCACCAATTTCTTTTGTTAATGTACTGTAATAATGAAAAGATATTTAAGAAGTATCACAAGAATCGTGTTCCACAATGCAAGGTGTGCAACGACTCTCGCTAATTTGTTATTAAGTTCGTAAATTTAGCAAGATGTTTATTGTAAACCATACATGCTTTTTTCCTTTAACTAAATTTTCTTCGTGAATAAATGTCTCTCTCGTTTGAAAGTACAAAACTATATATAATATCTTTGATGGATATATTATATATCTATATATATATATATTCCATTTTATCATCTTTTCCTTTTTCTGATAATAGTTTTTTAGTTTTCCTAAGAAACAAAATTATCTGTTATCAATCTGATTAAAATTCTCCCTAAAAAAACAGCTAAAATCATTCTTGTTAATATGCTGTAACTTTGCCACGAAGGTAAAGTGATAAATAAAAATAAATAAATAAAAATAAATAAATAAATTTGGCCTGTAGGGTTCTTCATGCTGAAGTAATCAAAACTACATTATAAACTCAGCAATTCCTACTTCCAGACAACAAAACACAAAACTTATAAAACTGTGATTCTCTCTCCGAAGGTAACAACAAAGATCGATACTTTATTTAATTTTAATGCTTTCCCTTGGATCAGTTTTTTTCTTAAAACTTTTCCGTATCAGGGGAAGAAGAGGATTTGAGATATGTTATGAAGCTTCTTCATTTATGATTTACAAATCTGATTTTTTCTTTAATACATTTTTATTTCTGATTCAGGATGGTGAAAAATCTGATGATGCTGGTTATTTGAGAAGCGGGAGAGTCTCCGGAGGATTGTTGCCGGAGCTATTTTCCGGTGACATTGCTCTCTCATACTCTGTTTCCAAAAACCTTTTCCCCTCCATCTGTAAGAAACCTTTTCACACTTCTTTTTCTTCACATACTAAATATTAACTAAAAAGAAATCTAGATTTAAAAGCATGATTTAATAAACTTTTAGGGTTCACTCTAAATTTCATCTGTAAGAAACTTATTATTTTATTTCCCCTAGTATTAACAAGAAATCTAGATTGAAGACCATAGTTTTCATTCATATGTAGTAGATGCGAGTATGAAGGTGCATCTATCTAATATTGTCCATCTATATGTGTATAAAGTGATTAATTGTTAGCTTCTAGAAGAGATGGTACCTTTGTTAGCTGGCTAACCAAAACCTGGTTCTCTGCTCTCAACATCTTCTCCTGTTAGAACAACATCACAAATCCATCAGTTTTCTAACAAGTTCTGAAACATCGAACTTTGACCCATCACAGTCCCCACTCGAGTAAGGACTGGGGAGTGGGGAGAGTCGACTTTGATCAAGATTTTAACAAAGCCTTTTTGATTCTCATTAGAGTTTCATTTAAATGAAGCCAAGAATAAATCAGACCAAAAAGACTTTATATAGAGAGATTAACACGTACGGTCAAGTGATCTGCATACTCTGAGGTTAAGAGGATTGAAGAATTAGTAGACCACAATGGCTGGGACTGCGAATAAAAACCAAAGCACTAACCTTTTCTTGAAGGGTCTTCACAAGCTCCATCATTAGCTCGTTCTGCAACAAGAGATTCAGGATTGTGTCAAACTGGAAACATGATCCAAACTCGGGCAATGTCCAAAGACTGTTCTTTGAATGCAAATCAGACAAAATATTTTATGGAATAATCTGCTGAATCACTCAGTCGCAGCAGATATACCTTCCTAGCTCTAGTTACAGACAGAGCAGTCTTGAACTGCTCTTCCAGGGAAATTAGAGACTCTATGCTTATATTATCGCCATTCGTTTCTTCAAGCTTGCTGCATATTCATAAATCAACCAAAAAGAAAAAGAAAAGCTTTTTTCGATCAGAGGGTGAGGTAGGACAAAGGAGTCTTGGTGCTAACCATTGGACTATTTCCAGTAACTCCTTATGTGAAAGATAATTCCTAGTTTTTTCTGCAAGACCCTGCCATAAATTAAGGGAAAGGTCAGAAAGATTGTGAGTTTCTTTTGTGGTTTCAAGAGACACAAATGACCGTAACTAACTCTCGACAGTTAATTTTGGTATACGACAAATAGTTTAGAATCTTGCCGAAGTTAAGGCATTACTCAAAGCATCCACATAACAACCATCTCAGTCAACTATTATAGAGCTAAGATTCTAAAAGCTCATCTCAATTACATATGCCGTAGACGACTTTGAGTGTATATATGGCTGACAAGATCTGATTCTAATCCCTTGAGAATAAAGTTTGGTAGAGAATAATTTAGAACCTTCTCGTATACTTTCTAGTGCAACACCTGCAGTGAAGAACGAAGTACCACTATGCCGGGTCTCTCTCCACATTGTTAAGGCACTACGCATAGTATCCACATAACAACCATCTCAATGGATTGTACGCTACTTCTAAATGCTCATCTCAGTTACATATGTGTGTGTAACGAAGAAAAACTTACCAAGGTTTTAAGTTCATCAGCATGTTGTATTTCATAACGCTTGAGGATCTTGGCCATGCTGGAGAGAGATTAAGAGAGAAAGAAAAAGACCTTAAAATACAATCTATGCCATACCATTTCAACACTACGAACATCAGAACATGTTGATAACTATAGAATCAATTTGTGTTAGTAACACTTAATATAGTTATAAACAATTCTAACAATGATTCATATTATACGACGGACTTCTTTAGTTTAACCTTGAGTACACAGTCTTGTGTTTAATTTTAATGTCGATGTATATAAATGGCTGAATCTACTACCTACAAAGTAAATTTGTAAGACTCTATTTATATCTAACTATGCAATGAACAACTCTAATAACCACTAAGCCCATCTCTAAGGTTGTGTTATATATAATCAACTTTGCAGACACTGAATTCGTTTTGACTTGGCATGGTTTTGGACATACATGCACAATATGAAAAATTTCTTCCTATGGGTTTAATTAATTACCTTACTACTCTCCTATTCCTATCAAAGCTAAATCAATGATTAACTTTTGGTTACTTTAAGAAACTGATAGCAGTCCAGAAAAGAGTAACTGGATAGATAGATTGAAAAAAATATTTCCCCTTACGAACAAATCTTAATGAAATTCATGTTCGTAAGTGAAAATCTCCATTCTTCAACAGATGGTAAAATCAATATTGACAATTTATTTGTGAGAAGCACTAAAGACACTCCAACCTCCTCATAGTATTGAATTGCTCACACAATCTGAACCGGAAAACTGAAAACAAAACCTTTGGCTGGATACATAAGACTTTGAAATAGTCCTTAAAGATTAAGCCAAGAAAACGGATTTAGCAATTTACGGAAGGTTACAAATTGATGGGATTGAGCCCAGATCAAGCCCAAAAGGTTCACCACAAAAGCTAGCTTATGTATGAGGGTACCTCTAGGTCTTGTAATTGCAGTTTGTTTAATCCTACTTTGTATTGTCCATGATCTATTGCAAGATTATAGCTTATAGATTGAATTTTGTTCACTTGATCTTTATGTTGCTAATTGCATCCTAAGTTTTGATTTGAAACTAAGCAATTAGTAAGGCACATAAGAATCAAAATCTCAAATCAACACACGAAGCTACAACTAGAGTTTAGACTACCGTTAAATTTGAAGCAATTAAAATCCATTGTTAATTCTTCAAAAAATTCGTGCATGTTAGCTGCCAATTTAATATATATACTTTCCTGATCAAGCATTTGTAGTGTTAATATCAAGGCAATGCTAAGAGGGTTTATATACAGTGACAAAGGGTTATATTCCCATTCCTATAAGGTTTCAATTCGGTTAATTGTAATCACATTGGAAATGCTGTAAAAGAACGACACGAGATAAAGTGTACTGAACCAAATGGTTGTATAGTCTCTTTGACTCATGAGACCCAATAACACAACAACAACAAAAATGCATTGCAAAAGAGATGGGAGCCAATTCTAGAAAAGTAGTGTCACCTTTGTGTCATAATTCAAGTTTAAATGTGGTGCGTGTGTGAGTTATCATGACCAAAAGAAATATTTGATAACCGTTCAAAGGAGTAATCCAGCATGTGTGATAGCTATAATTTATAGTCTTCATTACAGTTACCCCAGCACTATATCTGACCATCAAAATTAACTCGAAACCTTTTCTTAAGCAACGAATCAATAAAAATATTAACTAATAAATCATTCAGCATACACTTGTAACTAACCAAAATTTGCAAAAGGCTAAAAAAAAAAAGTGGCACCACACCAATCTTAAGATTTTTGATCAAGATTATATCTCAACAAATCTACCGGAGGTGCATTGAATTGGGTAATTAAAGAGGATAATGAGTATATATTAATCTCAAATTAAACAATGTACATTGTTCTTATATAACTGATCAAGTAGCAACACAAAATTAAGATGACTTGAAATCCCAAGAGACAAACATAAAGTTAAGATTACCACGTGTAGAAAATCCTCTCTAAGTGCATGCAATAGTATTCTCACAAAAAAAAAAAAAAACAATTCCTGCAACAAACTAAAAAAAAAATAGAAACAAAAAAAAACGAACACAAAGAACATCTTTGGCCACCACATTGTTTAATTTATACACCTACAGATCGATTATGGACATGGATTAAACACGAACCCCAGCTTTGAAGATTCAAAGAAGACAAACCCTAGTTGTTGTTAGTTTCTATAATTTCTCGAGAAAAATGAACAAAAGAGAATCCTAAAAATGAGGAAAAAGTAGTGTTACCTATCGCCGGAGGAGGAGCTGTAGAGTTTTCCTGTAGAGGAGACGATGAGAAGAGCGACGGAAGAATCACAGAGAATTGAGAGCTGACGAGCTTTCTCCATGAGACCATTTCGTCTTTTACAGAAAGAGACTTGTCGACTACTTTTGTTCTCAATTCGTTTGATCTCCACTTTTCTTCTTCCCATGGCTTCTCTCTCCGACAAGTCTTGTGCCCTAATTTGATCCAGATGTTCGTTTAGCTAAGCCAGAGAACACTCAACGTTTTTAATTTTATCCTTTTCTGTTTTTTGTTTTTTTGAGTTTTTTTTTTTCCTTTCTCTCTTGATCGTTTTTTTTTTTTTGGATTTTGAGCAAACTGTATCTACTGTTTTTGTTTTGGTGAACCGAGAGAGTGACAAAAAAAAAAAGAAATCTATCAAGAGGTGCAAAAACGATGCGTTTAGACACGTATTGACGAATGTCGAATTCCCTGCGGGCGCGTTTTTTCCTCTTCTGTCATTCCATTTCTTTGTAATTATCTCTTTCTGTTATAAAATTAATTATATAGATATTATATCATTATTTTGTTGTTTACGTTTGTAAGAGAGAAAGGAGTAGAAAGTAATTGCTTTTCAATTGAACTTGACTTACTTCTCTAGTTCTTGTACATTAATTAAGCTTACACTTGGTAAAAATAATAGTTACCTTCTAATTCTTCTAATTCTTCTAATTCTTCTAATTCAGTAGCAAATGAAAACAATTGAGAAAAGTGTTTTACAATTTATTAATGGGCCAATATATTTAAACTATGGGCCTAGCCAGGGCGAAGGTATAAAGAAACTGTGTTTGCGTATTTGTAGTTCCTCAATAACACCCAAAACAGACGAATTATCTGATATGATTTTAATCAAATTAAAAGAAATGAAACTACGTTACAATTAAAGTCCATTTTACTTTGACACGTAAATAAGACAAGTAACCAGACAACTAGCAATTAAATAAGGGAAACAAAAAGAATAAATAAGGTCTAGGGTTCTTCACGCTGAAGAAAAGTAATTACTTTAAATCCAACCCGTACCATCAGACAAGAACACAAACACACGAGCTCTGATATTGTCGACGAAGGTACAACAAAGAACGAATATTTTTATCTTAGTTTTACAATCCTTTAGTTCTAAGAGGATAGGAGCTTTTGTTTTTGCTTTCTTTTACCTTAATTTCCTCATTAGAGGAGGTAAAGGGTTTATGATTATGCAGCTTTGATATAATTTACAAATGTGATTTTGAATTCTGGATCAGGCTTTGAGATGGTGAAACCTCAGCCGTTGAATCATGGTGGTTACTTGAGCAGCGAAAGAGTCTCCGGTGGGTTGTTGCCGGAGTTACTTGCCGGTGACAGTGCTCTCTCATCATCTGTTACCAGAGCCGTGTTCTTCCCCAACTGTAAGAAGTTTTCTTACATTAATTTTTCTACAGCTACTAAATATTTAACAATAAATTAATCTATACTGTAAAAAGCTATTTTTTTGGTGGCAAATATGAAAAACTATGAAAATTACTCAAAATATTCACAGGAAGTCTAAATTTTGGTAGCTTTAAAAAAAACTAAATCAAAATGTTTAGCATGGTAATAAAAAAATAAACCAAATTTTAAATTATGGGTCCCACTCATATCCATCAAAGTCCTGAACTTTCATATTTATGTATATGTATTAATGCAAATGTATGCGTATCTATCTAACGTCCATCTATATGTATAAAAGGGCTTTAATTAGCTTTCAGAAGCAAAATAGATTGGAGCCTTTGTTACCTGATTAGCCAGAAGAGAATTCTCTTCTATCAGCAACTTCTCCTGTTTGTGTAAGATCACAAGTCCATTAGTTTCTAACAAGTTCAGAAGCCATCCGTAACTCGGTAACTCATAGCGGGCCCGGGAAAAGTCGACTTTGATCACAGTTTTAGCAATGCTTTTTATGTTCTCATTAGGGTTTCATTTAAATGAAAGCCAAAAACAAACCAGCAACTGTGACAAGACCAAAGACATATCTGGAAAGCTCTAAGTTTAAGAGGATTCAAGAATCAGTATTGCCTGCAATGGCCGGGATGGCGAATAAAAACCAAAGCACTAACCTTTTCCTGAAGCGTCTTCACAAACTCCATCATCAGTTCTGTCTGCAACAAGACATTAAAGTATTATGTCAAACTAGAAACATGATCTGTAGTCAGCAAGGTCCAAAGACAGTTCATGGAAACTAACTAGTCAGAAGATTTTATGGAATAACTGACCAAATCATTTTTAAGCTTCAGCATATATACCTTTCTAGCTCTAGTTACGGACATAGCAGTCTCGAGCTGATCCTCCACCGAAATTAGAGAATCTACACTTACATTATCAACATTCGGTTCTTCAAGGTTGCTGCATATTCATAAGTGGACCAAAAAAAGTATATTTTCCCGATCAGAAGAAGAGGAGAAAAAGATGTTTTGATGCTTACCTTTGGACTAATTCTAGTAACTCCTTGTGTGGAAGATAGTTCCGAGTTTTTTCCGCAAGTTCCTGCACATGAGAAAAAAGGTTTGAAAGATTGTGAAGTTAATCTTGTGTTTTCAAGAGGCACAGTAACTGTATATAGATTTATTCGGTATGACAGTTTCAAAAATTGAGTTATGTCAAGATCAGAAACCGCATCCAGAAGAAGATTTTAATGGCGTTCTTAGCTGACTTACCAAGGTTTTAAGATCATCAGCATGTTGTATGTCATAGCGATCGATGATCTTGGTCATGCTGGAGATATCAAGAACAAAACAAAAAAATGCATGAGATATAGCATCAAGAACGAAATCATGAAAACCCATTTCAAAACTACGAATTAGATATAGCATCTATAGAGACAGAACGGGAAAAGAATGCTTCTCTCTCTATATATATATATGAATGTTATATATAGCATCAGTTTGTGTTATTAACATATACTTTTGTTAATCAAATTTTGCTTACCTAGGCTTCTATAGATATAAATGTGAATGTAACGCTTAAACGCTTAAACCTTTGGCTAAATGATGTCAGGATACTCTATAAAGGATAATCCAAGAAAATGGTTTTAGCATTTCAGGGTAGGTCACGACTTTAATCCTTACTTTTGTTCTTAAAATCTGTATTTGTGAATTAATATTTTTAACCATTGATTCCAAAAAGAAGAAAACTAAAAAATTTAGCAAGGCGCAGAAGAATCTTAATCTCCTGTCAAAACACTTTTGTGTAGTGCCACTAAGTTAGGGTATAAAAGGAACTACCAAATATACTAAGCTACAACTAAAGTCTGCAAATAGAGAGGGTTACTAATAATTCAAATCATACGCTGTGCAGTTTAGTTACAAGTTAACACAAAACACTCTAACAATCAATCAATTATGGAGTTATATAATATCGAGGCATTGAGAAGGAGCTATATACACATATTGACAAGGGTTACATTTCCATTTTTTACAAGATATTTTTTTTTTCTTATCCCATTTGTGAGTTCTCTCAGCTCAAGATAGGAAACACAATGTCAATATTGATTTGTCAATGTACTTTCGTTTGGGTTGGGTCAATGTAAGTAATTCAAAATGTTATAAAAGAAAGAAGTGAATTTCTTCTAGATAAAAAACAATTTGAAAAGGTCATGTGGTTAGTAATATCCATTATCCACAGCCAAAGATAGAAGGATACTAAAATCATACTAAACAAATGATTGTAGTCTAGTGGTTTAACCCTATCGGTAACCGGCAATCAATTTCGACTTAGTGTGAAGCCACTGCGATATATGTATGGTGGTCGTAGACTTAGTTATAGTCCAAGTTTCTTTAGCAACGAAACCCAGATTAAATTCATTGCCACAAGAAATGGCACAACATCTTGAAGAGCAAAAGACGTGTCGCTAGACGTATATGTATTGCATGGTGTATATCCGCACAAAGATTATGAATAAAAGGAGAAAATGATCAGTATCCGATCAGATAAGTAATCTAGCATGTGTAGCAAGTATCAATGTGAGAAAATATCCAAATTATACAATCAAGCATCAAAAACAACCATAAACCCTTGGACGATGCTAGATCAACAAATCAATCAAAGAGAGATTACAAAATAAACAATCTACAACACATTTTGAAACAATAATTGCAGTGGACAATGTGGCATCCAAATTTCAACCAAAGAGTCTTGATCAAAGTCACCATTAACCCCTATTAATCTATCAACAAATCTACCGGAAGTGCATCGCAATATTGGATATATAAACCAAATCTAAAATTTTTTAACAATGTACTGTGTTTCCTGTATATAAGTAAGAAAAAAAATGAATCTTGAAATTGAACAACAGATGAAGATTACTGAAAAACCATTGAGCATGGATCCATACGTGTAGAAAACAAATTCTCGAATCACATGCAATAATAAAATTTGTAAAAAAAGAAAAATAAAAATCCCTATTAAAACACGGAAAAAAACAAAACGAACAGCAAGAACATATCTTGGACACCACAATGTTTAATCTTGAATTAGGTTTGAGCTATCGCATCGGCTATCGTTGTTATGAAAAGAAATAGAAAATCTAAGTGGATTTGAAGGAGAAGAAAAGCCCTAGATTTAGCCCTAGATTGGAAGTGTCTATATCGAGAAAGCAATTAAACCAAGAGAGTAAGAAGGAAAACTCAACCATAAGAGGAAAAGTAGCTTACCTGTCGCCGGAGGAGGAGTTGTAGAGCTTGCCGGAGGCCGAAAACGACGAGAACAGCAATGGATGATTCACAGAGAATTGAGAGTTGTCGAGCTTTCTCGATCAGACCATTGCGTCGTTTAGAGAAGGTGACTTGTCGACTGCTTTTGTTATCGATTCTTTTGATCTCTACTTTTCTTCTTCCCATCGCTCCTTTCTCCGATAAGGGATTTGTTATGCCCTAATTTGAAATCTGATGTCCGGAGACTCACTTGTTTTTATTTGTTTCTTTCTCTCTCTCTTTTTTTTTTCTTTTAGGTTTTTTTTTTTTTTTGGCTCTTGGACAATGACAAATCCAAGTCTGTTTGTTTTTTTTTTTTTAAGAAACGAGAGCGAACAAAAAAAAAAAAAGAAATGAGTGAAAACGATGCGTTTTGGAGGGAGGGGAGGAGACACGTATATTTTTGACGCATGTTGAATTGACAGCGAGCTTCTTTGACTTTAAATCCAACCGGTTGGACGGTCCCCGTTCTCGATCAGACAAAAGCTTGTTTTTTGCTCTTACCTTCACATTTCTATTTTAAGTCGGCCGCTTTTCTTGGCCGGACATCGGAAATCAGGATTTGCTTTACCCGGGTTTAGGGGTTGTTTGGATTCGAATCAGTGTGCTTCTCTGTTATTTCGTTGATGGGCGCAACATTTTGAAGAATAAGGTAAGTGTGTGTCTTGGTATCTTTACTTCCTTTTTCAGCTTATAGTCTCTTTGTGCCTTGATAAGTGTCCTGGAAAAAAACATTGCTTTCTTTAGTTAGAATTTTGATTTTGTATGATTTCCCTTTTTTGTGTTTGTGTTTTTTTTTTGAGTTTGTTTCCTTTAGACATCTGTTTTCTGAGAATTTTGTATGTTCCGCCGGTTTTGTAATTTCAATTCGGTTAAACGAGAGAGAACAAAAAAATAGTAATGAGTGAAACGCTGCGTTTTCGGGAAGTGGAAGAGACACGTATGTTTTTTATGCATGTTGAATTTCCAGCGAGCGCCTTTGACTTTAAATCCAACCGGTTGGGCCGGTTCCCATCATCATGCGAACAAAATTTGGTATAATGAAATACATCTGAACCGGGTGGACCGGTCTCGGCAGTCTTTTTTTTTTTTCTTTCGACGACCGGTCCACGTAATTAATGTGTGTTTTATGAACAATTATATCAAGCTTATACGTATTTATTGGTAAAAAGCCTCAATTGGACCAATAATACAATGATCCGAAACAGACACTCATCTTCTTCTTCTTTTTTTTCTTCCCATTCTAATTTCGACAGCGTATGGATCCGGTTCGTCAAAAAAAAAACGACAGTCCTCTGAATGTGGATTTAGGGGTTTGCTCCGGAAGCCGATAGTTAAACGCATCTTAAATGGGCCAACCCAAAATTACATAGCTTACTTATTAAGTTAAGCCCAGTTCAATTTAGAAAAACGCTTTGACTAGCTACTCGCAAGCACCACTCCAAGTCAGGGAGCTAAATGACTCGAAAACATATATTGTTGTCAACACACTAGATACCAAATGATTCTGTGAGTAAAATTGTTTGAATACTGAATTAATCATGATGATTACAATTATGTTTTCATTACTGAAAGTTGCACATACACTTCGAAATTTTTTAGCCTTCTGTTTATGAGTTTATCCACAGGCCATGACTCATGTCTCGAGGTATAATCAACATCTGGAGACTCTTGTTTTAGCTCCATCTGGGTTTTTGATGACTACTATCTAAAATTTTGATTTCCTTTTTTGTGTGTAATAAGCAAAAACGGGAATTTACTTTCATGTTCTCGTCTTAGCGAAGTGATCACTTGCGTTAGTTAAATATATTAAAAAAAACTGTTTTTGATAAAATTTTAGAAATATCAAACTTAGAATATCTGGGAGAAATTTACATAAGTGGGAGGATTCTCTTAAAATGATATAAAGTGAAAAAAACTAAAGTAGCACATACACACTTGTCTTAGTTGTCTACAGTAAGAATTCTATAAATTAATAACAATGGGACTATAATATTTTATTAATTTAGAGAATTATTCATTTACAAAAATATTAATTGGACAAAATCTAATTTGGGATCTAATTTGGACAAAATATTAATTTATCGATATTATGTGCTTTTTCTTTCAAGTTGTTAGGAAACATCAAATACACTAGTAATTAGCAGATGGAATCTATTGGTGCTGAACCAAAACTTTTTTTTTAGCGGTCTCAATTGGTCCTTCGATGGGTTTCCATTGTTGATATCTTTGTCCTTTTGTGCTCTCACTATATTGGCTTTAACTTTATTGCGTACCTCATGTACTGATTCTCCGTTTGTTATTCAACAATTAGTATATTTTAAGATCAAAGTTGATGTAACATATAGCGTTGTCTAAATTTTAATGATTCACCTTTATGATTGTACTCAATTATGTGCACAATGAAAAAAAAAGACAGGCAGCTAATAACAATTATGTGTCGAAAAGTTTTTGGACATTTGGTGACGCAATGATCCATTTACCGCACTAACTTTTGTCCTGTTCCTAATGCTTATGATATCATATTATTTTTTGTTGGGTTATTTTCTTGTTTTAAAAAATTAAATATAAGTTAGGAAATTGCCATAGATCTATCCGGCTGAATCTAGTTCGGTTTGTATTATTAGACCCGGTTCATATATTCTGGTTTCGATTTGACCATTAAATAAATTTTACATCTGAATTTTGATTTTGTTAGAAGTTAATTTGATATGATTAGAGGAATTTAACTAAAGAATGTTAAAAAATTAAAACGATAATCTCTGTTATTAGATTCTTTCATGTATTTTCTTTTAAATATAGCTTGTGCTTTTCTTCTCTTCCTCCTCTCATTTGCTTATTTTCCTTTCTTACTTCACATTATTTCTTATCCGCTTTAGATAGAGAGAGAGAGATAGAGAATGGTGTTGGGAAAGCGTCACGGATCTTTGATCAAGAGAACAACAAGCATGAGAATGATCACACTCGATACAGCCACGATCAATGATCAAGCATCTCAGCCGCCCGATCATCTAACCACTCATCAGCATCATCATAATCCGACGGTAGTGATGGCTACTCAAAATGATGATTTCTTGAGGACCTGTAGTTTCTGCAATCGAAATCTTTGCCATCGTCGTGACATTTATATGTACAGGTACGAATTATTTTTCTATATTAATTCTAAACGATGGTTTTGATTATCTTTATATGTTATGGTTTAATTAGTTAGTTATCTTATATGATGAAAACTGTTATTCTTGTTTTGTAGAGGGGACAACGCATTTTGTAGCTTAAAGTGCAGAGAGAAGCAAATTAAGCTGGACGAAAGAAAAGTGAAAAACGGCGTTCAAATATCCAAGAAATCAATCCGGTTTTAATTGATCATGTATGATCTATAATAAATTAAATTACTTCTTCCCCGTACGGATAAAATTTAATGTGTTTGTGGTTTGTACATAGGAATAAGAGAAAGAACAAAGACGAGAAAATGGGATTAAATGATTATAGTGATCGTATTCTATATAAAAATATTCATAATTCATAAGCATAGAGTAATTGAATTTGACTTGCTCGTGTGTGTGTGTGTTTTTTTTTTGTAATATGTAATATATATATATAATATATAATATAATATGAGTGTTTGCTGTATATTCAGGTGTTTACTAGTTGTTGTAACATATAACTGCCAAAAAAAGGAAACTTAATAGACGTACTTGTTGATACTATAATAATCAGACGGACCGATTCTTATAAATGTAACTATAAAATAGAACTTGTGATAGGGATCAATTCTGAGAAATTCAATAAATAAATGTATCGAATCTTGTGTGACGAAACTAAAAGATTTCCCTCTGTACTTTTTTTATAAAAAAAGTGGAACTTCCAGTTGGCCGGCTAAATTCTCCTAGTATTTAAAGATTATTACTAGAAAATTAGAAATAGTAATGTTGCTACCCCTGTATTCGTCGTAATGGTTTATATATAATCCTGCAAATATATTATCAGATTCAACATCCTACAAATATCAATTTATCTATCCACACTGAAGATATAACAATCTGCTACATTGCGATATGAGTCTTACTTAGCATACAAATTAATGTTTTGGACGATTCAAGATTACAGAGTTTGAAGCTGACAACTACGATCCAAACAAAATTAAGTTGACTTTTTGGTGTTTTTGAATACACGAACTAAATATTTTGTCTATATAGATTATATATTGTAGTCACTATCGTTTAAGGTAGGTGGTGGAATAGTGTGCAACTAGGACTGGACATAAATAGCTAATTAAGAGCAGACGGGATTGTCTCTCTTTTTCTCCGTTCATTCGAGCTAGTTCTTGTTTTACATGAGACTCAGAGTATTTACATGAGCACTTCTTCCATTTATCCTCAGCGTTTGAAACTGAGCGTAGACGCCTAGCACAGGTGCGCGCCATAGTTGTTCTGCCGGTTCTGAAGAGATGCAGTATAAGTTTGGGCTTGCGACCCAAAATAAGATATGTAATCTACGAAATATTAAAATTGTCAAAAGTCTTTTGTAATGTAGTGATAGTGGTCTTGAAAAAAAGGCTTTAAGAGTTCATGAGTTTGAGTCTTTTGGGCTTGTGATCCTCATATTGCACATGGCCGACACTGGCTGTCGGTGAGTGAAACATTGGAAACAAAACATCTAATCCCATGGTGTTGATTTCTCTGGGATATGCCCTAGCTAGTAGCTAAAGTGAAGACAAACGAAAATCTCCTGGTAAGAGGTGACCCAACAGTTAGCAACAAAAACAGAATTTGTCTATCTTAAGATTCTGGGATCTCTTTTTCTAAAAAACAAAAAATTGGGTTCTTTCATTATGGCTGGATGTTTTTGAATGTGCCAATTTTGTATAGTGCTACTTCTTCTCGTGTAGTATCGGTGATTTTATGATACAGACCATAAATTCAAATGAAAATTTTGTGGGTCCAGAATATTTTCGAGTTTGATTCTTGATAAGATCTTGGATCTCGAATCCAAACTTATTTCACTTCAATATTATTATTATATAGAGATCATCGTATGGCATAACACAAGAGTTAATTTTCATTGGACTAAGGAGGATATGCACCAAGTCATGATCTAATCCACCCATGTGTGATATAATTTATTTTAATTAAATTTACTGTTGTTATAACACATATCTATGGACTCTTATACCGGCTCATTAGGCCCATCAGGGCATTGTACTTAACCTAGATTCCCTATGTACTCTATATATACATTCCAGTGATTAATAAAGTTTCTAAGTTTTCACAACACGTTATCAGCACGATAAGACTTTCTGAGCGAAAAACCCTAATAAATCCGGCCATCACCAAAACCCTAAAAGCAAGTCGAAACTTAAAAGACGCATATCTTCCAAACCGTGAGGAACCAGAAGACGATCTACATATCAAATCAAAGCCCTCGACGAGACGAATCTACTGGTGAAAACCGTTTGTCGATCCAAAGTCGGACGCGCCCTCACGCACACTTACAGTACACGACGATCAACCGAAAAAAAAAAAAAAACCAGATCCGAGTTTTTCCTTCTTCAACCAGCAGCTTCTCCAGTTTTGGTGATCAATCCTTGGAATTTGTAGCGGCTAACTGAGGTCTATTAGCTCCCAGTTTCATTAGCCTGTCAGAAATCCAAAGGTGGAAAAGGTATCTTCTAAAACTGAGAGCCATAGAACCTGTTGTTTAAACACTTCAAAACCCTATAAAAAAAAAAAAAAAAAAAAATCGATCTCTAATTGATTGAAAGTGTTTGATACTCTGATGATTGATTAATAACTTGTTGATTGATTGTTTAAATTACAAGTTTATGCATGTTCAAAGGTTTTAAACTCGTTTTATAAAACCCTAATCTACAAAAACCTAACAACTGTTTTTGGCCATGTTTATGGCATAAACCTATTCGATTTTCTTCATGTTTAATAAGCTTGTTGCAGCTTATTTTGATTGTTGATTCTCTTGCTTGAAACACTTGATTGAATAAACTAAGAAAATCAACCCTAAATCCTAAGCTTGATTCACGATTTTGTAATCTTCAAAATCGTAAGTCATAATGCTTAAACCCTAGTCCTTTTCACGTGATTTCTTTGTTGTCCTTGTGAAATTATTAAAACCATCGACCACAGATCCTATAGATCTCGAAATCACATCCAAAATATGTTTTCCAAACCGTTAAAACCCTAGATAAAACCCTAATCATATTCGGCTTCCCTAGGGTTCCTCCTAAACCGCCTAAAACCGGCTAAACCTGGTTCTCATTAACCGAAATTATATTCGGCTTTAACCGATTAAATCACAGCTATTAAACCGACATCATGTTCGGGGTAACTAAAACCATACCCTTTAAAATTTACTATTTCCGAGAAAGTTCCCTCTAATAGAAAGTTTCCTCATATAAAAACTTTCCTCATATAGAAATTTTCTCGACATAGAAACTTTCCTCATTTAGAAAATTACCCAAATTAGAAACTTTCCAAATTTAGAAACTTTCCTAAAATTGAAATATTCTCAAAATAGAAAGTTTCATCATCAGCATTCAAAATTTTCTCAAAACAATCCCTAACAAAATCAATCTCATGTTTCAGATGTCAAACATTCAGAAATGTGAATTCGAGGCCCTTCACGTCTCCGGGGATAACTACCTCGAGTGGGCCCTAGACATGCGCTTGTTCCTTGCATCGAAAGAACTCGATGCGTGTATTACCGACGGTAACACCGCATCCCGTAAGGGACAGTCTCAGGCGATATGTCACATACGCCATCATCTGGCCTCGAGCCTTAAGCAGCAATATCTCACTCTTGAGAATCCACTTGAATTGTGGCAAGCGCTGAAAAAGCGATATGACCATCAGAAAATGGTCCAGTTGCCTCAGGCAGATTTCGACTGGAAGAACCTTCGGTTCCAGGACTACAAATCCGTAGATGATTACAACAACGAACTCTTTCGTATTGTTGCCATCCGGAAACTCTGTGGCGAGGATGTGACAGATAATGATCTCCTCGAGAAAACATTATCTACATTCAGCACAGAGAATGTTGTGCTCCAACAACAATATCGTGCAATGAAACACACATTGTCGAAGACTTGTTGTCCTGTCTTCTCCTCGCTGAGAAGAATAACGAGCTGCTTATGAGGAACAGCGCTATGAGGCCCCTGGGATCGGCTCCTGTCCCAGCTTCTCGTCAAGAGTCCTACCATGTTCAACCCGATAGATCCTCAGATCACCGCCGTGGACGTGGTAATGGACGTGGTAATGGCCGAGGACATGGACGTGGAAGACGTGGACGCGGACATGGTCGTGGCAACCGACCTAACCTCAGTTATGGTCCTGGTCGTGGTCGAGGCATCACCAAGCCGACCCGCCACACCAACCCCGATCACTCTGCTTGTACCAGATGTGGGATGTTCAACCACCCAACAAAGCAATGTCGCACCCCCAAGATCCACTGCGATCTATACCAGAAGTACGGAAAAGCTCCTGCTGAAGCCAACATGACTCAGCCAGTCGATGCTGCTAACCTGGAAGGTGACGACCTCCTTGATGATGAGAACACCACAAACGAGCAGACCGACCCCATGGACTATGAAACAGCTGATCTCCTCGATTAATTCAATCATCTGAAACTCTGATACAATTTGATTTTGTTCTTTATTTTTTTTTTTTTTTCATTTTGGGATTTGTTTCATTTTTTTTTCCATTTGCCTTTATTCTCAGACACTGCTTTACTTTATGATTTATCACATTTTCTGAATTCCTCAATACTGAATTCTATCTTCTATTCATAATGAAGCACACCAGCAAATGGAAACCATAGTCGTAGATAGTGGATCCAGCCACACTATCTTAAGAAACAAAAGTTACTTCATAAACCTAACCTATCAAACCGCAAATATTAGCACCATCGCGGGTCCCTCAAACCTTATCGAAGGATATGGCCATGCCTATGTGTTGCTATCAAATGGCACACAACTTGAAATACCAGATGCTCTATATTCTCCTAGTTCGAAGAGAAATCTTCTGAGCTTCAAGGATATAAGACAGAATGGTTTCCACATAGAAACCCAAGGTCAAGGGAACAAAGAATCCCTCCTAGTCACTAAAACCGTAGACGGCCATAAACAAATCCTCGAAACCATACCCGCGCTCTCTACTGGACTTTACCATGCTAAAGTCAGTATGATTGAAGCTAATACCACTCTCAAAGCCTGGTTTACTGATTATACTATTTGGCACGACCGGCTCGGTCATCCCGGTGCAAATATGATGCGTAAACTAATTCAAAACTCTCAAGGGCATACCCTCAAAGAAAACCGAGCTTATCCTCAACACCTCATGTGCACAGCTTGTTCTCAAGGCAAATTGATCACTCGGCCTTCACCAGTTAAAATCTCTAAACAAACACTTCATTTCCTAGAAAGAATCCAGGGCGATATCTGTGGACCTATACATCCATCTTCCGGACCATTCCGGTACTTCATGGTCCTTATAGACGCATCGACCCGTTGGTCATATGTTTGTCTCTTGTCCTCTCGGAACCAAGCCTTCGCTAGGTTCTTGGCCCAAATCATAAAATTGCGGGCCCATTTCCCTGACTTCCCACTAAAGACTATCCGCCTTGACAATGCTGGTGAATTTACCTCACAAGCGTTTAATGGCTACTGTATGGCCATGGGGGTAACCGTGGAACATCCTGTAGCACATGTCCATACTCAAAATGGATTGGCTGAATCATTCATTAAACGCATTCAATGGATAGCCCGACCATTACTCATGAGATCAAAGCTCCCGGCCTCAGCATGGGGACATGCAGTATTACATGCTGCTGAACTCATACGCATCCGGCCATCTAGTGAACACAAATATTCCCCATCCCAACTACTCTCGGGTCATGAGCCAGACATCTCCCATCTCAAAACATTTGGGTGTTCAGTATATGTACCCATTGCTCCACCACATCGAACCAAAATGGGACCTCAAAGAAGGATGGGAATATATGTTGGTTTTGACTCTCCCACCATCATAAGATATCTCGAGCCAACCACTGGAGATCTCTTCAAGGCCAGATATGCGGATTGCCAATTCGATGAATCGGTATATCCCTCTTTAGGTAGTGAGACAAACAAGCTGGTCAAAGATCTTTCATGGAATCAAACATCATTAAATCGGCAAGATCCTCGGACTCTAGAATGTGATTCAGAGATCCAAAAGATTATTCATTATCAAAAGCTAGCTAATCAATTGCCAGATTCCTTTGCTGACCCGACCAAAGTAACCAAATCGTACATCCCAGCTTGTAATGCACCAGTACGAATAGCTGTCCCAACGGGACAGACCCAAGTTGCTACAGAGTCTGCACCACGTCTCAAATGGGGCAGACCTCTCGGTTCGAAAGATAAGAATCCCCGGAAATCAAAGAAAGGTGCAATAACCGAAACCGGGATTCCTGCAATATCAGACATAGCCGCGGCTGAGACTCAATCTAATGAACCCTCAATGGAAGTTCGGGACGCCGAATCTCCAGGTTCAGAAGATAACAATGAGATCTCCATCAATTACAATATGTCCGGAATACAATGGAATCGAAAAGAAGTCGACTTAAATGCACTCTTTGCATACAAAGTAGCACTTGATGTTGCGCTCACGCAAGAGGATCTAGAACCCACGTCAATAACACAGTGTACACATCGAACAGATTGGCTAAAATGCAAAGAAGCCATAAACGTGGAGTTAAAGAGTCTCAAACTCAGAAACGTGTTCGGTCCGATCATCCGGACCCCATCACACATCAAGCCAGTGGGCCACAAATGGGTCTTTGTGCGCAAAAGGAACGAACTCGGTGAAGTCGTTCGATACAAAGCACGGCTTGTAGCACAAGGATTCTCACAGAGACCCGGAATCGATTATGAGGAGACTTATTCTCCAGTGGTGGATGCAACAACATTCCGATTCCTCATAAGTCTGGCCATAAGAGAAAATCTTGATCTGCGGTTAATGGATGTTGTAACCGCATATCTCTATGGGCCCCTGGACAACGAAATATATATGAGACTCCCAGATGGCATTGAACTAAAAGACAAAAATGCATCTCGAGATCAATACTGCATCAGGCTGAACAAATCCTTGTATGGACTGAAACAAAGTGGGCGTATGTGGTACAACCGCCTCAGCGATTACCTCATCAAAGAAGGCTACAAAAATGACCCCATCAGTCCATGCATCTTCATCAAGAAGTACTCAAACAAAGGATTTGTAATCATAGCAGTATACGTGGATGATCTAAACATCCTCGGAACATCTGGTGAGATCTCCCAAACAGTCGACTGCTTAAAAGCAGAATTCGAAATGAAAGACCTAGGCAAAACAAAGTACTGTTTGGGATTACAACTTGAGTACATCAAAGGAGGAATCCTTGTGCATCAATCGGCTTATATCGAAAAGGTACTCAAGCGATTTAATATGGACCAAGCTCACCCATTGACCAGCCCAATGGTAGTTAGAAGCTTAAGTGATGACCCTCTTGGTCCCAAAAAGGATGATGAAGAAATCCTTGGTCCTGAAAAGCCATACCTCAGTGCTGTAGGAGCGTTAATGTACCTGGCTAGTCACACTAGACCAGACATATGTTTCGCCGTGAACCTCCTCGCTCGATATAGTTCATCTCCAACTCAGAGGCACTGGAACGGTATAAAACATCTCCTAAGATACCTTCGAGGTACTCAAGACTTAGGACTCTTCTATACTAACCAAAATAAAGATGGGTTAGTCGGCTTCGCCGATGCAGGATATCTATCAGATCCGCACACTGCCAAGTCTCAAACTGGCTACGTTTTTACGCATGGAGGAACAACCATCTCTTGGAGATCAATGAAGCAGACACTCACTGCCACTTCATCAAACCATGCTGAAATCCTAGCCATTCATGAGGCTAGTAGGGAATGCGTCTGGCTGCGCTCCATGACTCAGCACATCCGCAGAGATTGTGGTATGGACGAAGACACACAGCCCACGGTGATGTATGAAGACAACGCGGCATGCATAGCTCAGCTCAAGGAAGGATATATCAAAGGAGATCGGACGAAGCACATTCTACCGAAGTTCTTCTCAACCTCAGACTGGCAGAAGGACGGCACTCTCAGCGTTCAGCAGGTTCGATCCAGTGAGAATTCAGCTGACCTCTTCACCAAATCATTGCCTACTTCAACACACCGGAAGCTCGTCAAACAGATAGGAATGTATAGACTTAGAGATCTGCAGTGATGCTACAATCAGGGGGAGTAATGCGTGTTGTACTCTTTTTCCTTCACCATGGTTTTGTCCCACTGGGTTTTTCCTGGTAAGGTTTTAATGAGGCAACATTCCCCAGCGCATTATCGAGATCCCGATTGAGTAGCTGACCCGGTTCACTCGTCCAAGGGGGAGTGTTATAACACATATCATATATGGACTCTTATACCGGCCCATTAGGCCCATCAGGGCATTGTACTTAACCTAGATTCCCTATGTACTCTATATATACATTCCAGTGATTAATAAAGTTTCTAAGTTTTCACAACAACTGTCTATTATACACTCTATAGCTAAGAAAAAGACAAGGTGTTGTCCTTTGGAATTCTCCAATCGATAAATCTATGACCACTTACGAAGATCCCGAATCTTACAACTATCACTAAGAAATACAAATATAATGTCTTATTGACTACACATACTACTAGAATATTTGATCAAAGGATAATATAAATACACGAGTCTTTGTTCCATCAAACATATCCATCAACAAAACTTCATCTTTGATTGTTAATTTGCTTTGATTGTGTAAGCAAATAAATGGGTGTTACGGGGAAGAAACTTTGTTCACTAAATTGCGAAGTCAGAATAGTAGAAGCAAGAAACGTAGAGATCAAGTCACAAGCTCGTACTCTGTTCGTTAGATTCTATCTCTCTGCAGGACAAAACAGAAAGATCGAAGTAAACACGAGAGATATCTGTTCGAAGTCAGACAACCTCGTTTGGGATCAATCTTTTGATCTGGAGTGTCAAGGGGACGAAGCAGCCGTCGATGAATTGAAGCAACAGATAGTCGTTTTCGAGCTACGGAGGAAGAAAACGGCATCGTTTCTCAGGAAGTCATCGAGATCGGAGGTTGTGGGAAGAGGAGAGGTTTCATGGGATTCGGTCTTCGGGTCGCCAGGCATGGAAATTGAGAGATTTGTTGTGATGGGTGAATCGAAAACCCGGGTCTTGGAAGATGAAAAGCCTGTTTTGTTGAAGATAGCTTTAAAGGTTCAAGCTTTAGAAATGGAAAAGAAGTTGATCAACAAGAAAGAGAAGCTTTGTGTGTGTTGTAGTCGTAGAGATTGTGGAAGTTGCAATTGTTTGGATTACGAAGCTTTTGCTTTAGCTTGTGCTTTAGATTGTATTTAAAGAAGGGAAAACAGAATTTTGATTCAAATCAACAAACTCCAAGAACATTGATAGATAGTTGCGGAACCAGTTTCACAACTCTTTTATTAAAAACAAGGGAAACCAGGAGACTAAGAAAAGGGAGAAATCGAAAACAAGAACCAGTTTCAAGCATCACCATGTCCGAGAAGAGCAACAAGCATGTCCTCATAATCACCAGAAGTGTCTTTGGCGATAGCAACGTTCAAAGGAATGCTGTTCCTTCGCTGATATTCCTCTTTGATGCGCTCCATGTCAACTTCAGTTCGTGTTGTCACGACTCGGGTAAGTCCCCATTCGTCTGTACCCATTTTGTTGATTGCTAGGCGCAGAACCTTCTCAAAATGCTTCTCAGGGTATGTCAAACACGTGAATGCAGCTCTAAGTAGTTTCAGGTATTCGTCATCTGAACCTTCCTTCAAATTCTGCAGAATTCGACACACAGTCAGCTGTCTAAAGAAGACATTATATCAGAAAATTAGAAACAGCACTTTGTGGTTGAGGTTAACCTTGTTGATGGCGTTTCCATACTCGTTGTTGTAGTGGTTGAGAGTTGCACCGAGTTGTGCTTTGCTTCTGGTGGTCAAGATTCTGATGAAGTCATCATCGCTGAAAGCTTTCTCTGAGACCTTCTCGTGAAGTAACTTGGCTTCAGATCTTGCAAGCATCATGTTCACATCATCTCCTTCGTACCTGAAAGTGCTAACAAGAGGAAGCAAGAGCTACAAAAGAGGACACAAACTAAATTGTTACAGAAAACTTTTCAAAAAATCCCGGAAAAAAACGAAGCAAGACTCGAATTATATACCTTACGAAGATCTCCAGATGTGTGTTGCGCGACATCTTCCTCGAGTGATTTCTTGTATCGAGCTTGGTAAGCTTGCTTGACCTTGAAAAGCTCAAGAGCAGACCTTGTGCAAGCGATCTCAACAAGAACCCAATTGTTCTTGGTGAACATTTTGGTGGATTCTTTAGCTAGATAAGCATCTCTCTCCGCTGGATCAAGAGTCCACAACATCACAGCTCGCTGTTGCAAAAAACCAAAAACAGTTTATCCCTTAAATCAGTCGTAAGACTCTTTCAAAGATCCAAATAAATAGAAGAAGAAGAAGAAGAAGAGAGTAATATAACCTCAAAGTCACTAGAAAGCTCTTTGTCTAATGCTTTGAGAAGATCCTCATTGTAAGTAGCGGCATAAACGCTGCGGATTAAGCTGCGTTGTGCTGAGTTCCTGTGAGCTAGAATTGATATGATCAGCTTCTCGTTGGTACCCCATCCTGTTTTTTAAGACCAAATCATAACAACATTTTAAGACATGTCATGTTCAGACCAAACCAAACAATCTTGAATCGCCTAAGGGGAACACAAAGGACTCTCCTTTTTATTTTCTCGAAAACCATTTGAACACAAAATAAGTATAATCAACGCTTTTGAAAATTTTATTTTTGAATCGCTGAACAAGATACAAAGATACGATCCTGATCTTGTGATTGATGAACAAAACAGATCAATGTAAGAAGAGGATCACAAAGCAAGTAGTGAACAAGAGTTAGATCAAACAGGATCAAGTAAATCCCTAATCAACAATGTAGTCATGACTAAATCCGTAAATTAATCAATAAACAAAATCACGACAACGAAATGGAAGGATCAATCAATAACCGACTAAAGATTAGATTCGTGGAAGATGAAATTAAAAATCCAAACTTTTGTTTAGATCAGTCGATTAAAGGAGAGAGATAGAGACCTTGAAATGCCTTGTGAAGTTGCTCGGCGTCTTCTTCGGGAAGAGGAACATTGGTTGGGACTTTGAGAGACGTCATTTTTGGGATCAGTCTTGAGATCTCTCTCTGTTTTTGGTGTCTGTAAATGTAATGAGATGAAGGCAGACGCACGTCTTCTTTCTTAAATAACGCTACGGGATCCCGAAATTATCGCTAGATAAGAAAAGTAATACATATAAAGCATTTAAGAATAAATATTAATATTATAAATAATTCAATATGGACATAGTGTCCTTAGAAAAGTAATTTAAAGCATTTAAGCATGGAGAGAATTCAAAAGTATTTTAATAGTTGTTTTTTTTATAAGAAAAATACTCTCTCCGTTTTACAAAGAGTGTCGTTCTGACATTCTACACACAAATTAAGAAATAAGATAAAATATCTCTTACACCCATATTAATTTATAGAAAATAACTCTTGAAATTATATTTATAACTAATTTATGAATTGATTTTGAGGTTAAAAATGATATTCTATGTCAAAAATTACATTGAAATTCTAAAACGACATTCTTTTTTAAACAAAAAAAAATGTCAGAACGACACTCTTTGTGAAACGGAAGGAATATGAAACAATTTATAATTTATGTTATGCACAATGTATGTATATGAACCAAGCTGGGAAAGATATATACTCCATAAATAGCAATTATAATTGCAATCTTTTTTCAAATTAGACTGTAATTAAAATAATTATTCAAAAATAAATAACCAACAAAATCTTCTATCAGCTAATTTCGTAGAGAAGAAACTAAAAAGCCGCATCCAAGTCGTATCAAAGTAAATGATTTTATGTTTAATTATAACTGAATATAAATGGGACCGGTACAACTTTAATGTGATGTAAAACGTGCTTATGATCAGAATAGGTCGACGAAATTGTTTTTTCTTAAATAAAGTTATTTGTATTTTTTTAGAAAATTAAAATAATATGTAAAAGCGATGATGATGAAGAGTTCAAACTTTACTTAATGGCGTTGATAAGTATCAAAACTTAATTTTAAAAACATGCTATTGGAGTAGCTGTAGCTAGAGAAAACAATTGGTTGATACTAAAAAAATACATTAGAAAGCGAGATTTTTAATTTTTTTTTTTAATTTGTATGCTTTGCTAATTGTTTTTTTTTTTTTTGCTTTGCTAATTGTTACACAACTCCTTTATAAGAAAGAAAACGTTGAAGGAGTCACGTGGTTGGCGCTATGCGAAGTCTAAGGGGGCGGGGAGCAGAGCAGTTACTTCGTCCACTCAAATTTGAAAAATATGAAGAAAAAAAACTTTAAACGCCATACAGGTATGTACAACTACTGAGGTTAGGTTAACTGTTTTTCTATAAGTCAGAATATTTATCCACATATAAAAATATATATTTTAAGTATAAGCGAGAAAGTCATGGAAAAAGTTTAACAAATGAAAAGCGACCCCGATTGGAATCCTCTAGTTTCGTAGACCCAGCGCCTTATCCATTGGGCCGGATTCATCAAATTAAACGTCCAAAATGTATTTAGCATCGAACATTTGTGTATAACACACCAGAACCAAAAAAAAAAAAAAAAACGCAGAAAACTTAGGTACAGATGCAAACAACGTGTATCACACTTCTGGAGATCCGTGAAATCTGAATAGTGGAAAGAGAAAACACACAAATAAAAAGGGGAAAGGAGGAAGCTATGGTTATTGATTCCTCTGGAAGATGATAATATCACATTCCTCTCCTCAAGCAACGCTTGTAATCTTCTTCTCTTTTAATCCATCTAGCTTCTGAGGAAGGGAATCTACAGAATCCGATCCAACATTGGCAGCTTTCTCCTCCTCATAAGCTGCAACATGAACTCCAAGAGCCGCACGGCCTGACGGATCAAGATTCTTCGACCAAGTTGCATCCCATTCTATCGCTTTCGCTGTACTGCAAGCTATACTTGGACCTCCTGGAACTGTCGCCCTTGCTGCGCTCTGCTCATAATACAGAGAGGGATTAAAGAAATCACAAACGCAGATAGATTTTTGAATGTTTCGTGGAATACTATTAATGTTTTATTACCTTAGGGAAGAACTTCTCAAAGATGGTTCTGTAGTAGTAAGCTTCTTTTGTCATAGGTGTGTTATCGGGGAAGACAAAGCTTGCGTTCGACAGCATAGTGTCAGAGACCTTATTACCAAGCAAAAGAGGGAAGTTTATGTCAAAAAGTTTTAACATTTATCCCGAAAAAAAAAGCTTTCGAAAAGATATTTCTTACATGTTTGTTTGCATGATCTTTCAGACCATCAATCCAGCTATACCCAACTCCATCGCTAAACTGTTCTTTCTGTCTATACAGAATATGCTGAATTCACAGAAGATGAGGAATTTGTTGTTAGAGAACATATCAAGTGTAATTGCAAGAAAAAGACTGTGAAAGACACAAACCTTTGGTAGATAAGGCTTCTGTTCATCATCAAAGGCGTTGCGCAGGACCCACTTCTCGATCCTCCCAATATCAGGCTTGACCATCTTCCACTCTGGATCAATGCTCATCGCTACATTTATAAATTCTTTATCTAGGAAAGGCACCCGAGCTTCGACACCCCACGCAGAAGTTGACTTGTTGGCTCTCAAGCAATCAAATTGATAGAGAGCTTTGATCTATAAGGAGACCAAACCCATAAGAAAAGATTCAACAATGGGGTCAGGGCAGCAAAGTAAGTTCTCGATCCGATAGAAAAGGAATTACCTTTCGACATGTTTCTTCATGAAATTCTTTCTTGTTGGGTGCCTTGTGGAAGTACAAGTATCCTCCGAGAATTTCATCAGAGCCTTCCCCAGAAAGAACCATCTTTACACCTAAAGATTTAATTTTTCTGGACATAAGAAACATTGGGGTGCTAGCTCTTATTGTAGTCACGTCATAGGTCTCAATATGGTAAATCACTTCCTCTATCGCGTCTATCCCGTCCTAATATATATCATTAGAGGAAGATATTAAGCCGTCTTTTTGAGGAAACATGAGTGATAGTGAATCTGATTCAAGTAATTCTTTTACCTGAACTGTAAACTGAAACTCATGATGGCGCGTTCCAAGATACTCCGCAACTTCTCTGCCAGCTCTAAGATCCGGCGATCCCTGAAAAACAAAAAAAAAAGTAGTTAGAAACTTGGAACGGCACACAACATTTTAAAAAGTCTTCAATTTGATGACCTTCAAGCCGATGCAAAATGTGTGCAG